GTCTACGTTACGAGTCGCTACTTTCTATATGAAGTTGAAGCTCGATATGATGATCGATGGAATCGATGGTTGTTTTATTTAAAGTTTGTTCGTGTATTGCTTGCTCTTTTGATACTTTTATATCTAATGGCCGTTGCACACTGGTCCTTCTTTAGAAAGAAGAACTCTCATTGGATTTAACTCATCGCTTCTGATGTGCAATGGACATTAGGTGCAAAAATGTCAAAAGTGCAATTAATTTGAACAAATCTCTAATATTAGGGCTTTTGCACACAAAGTTCCGTAACCGTGGAATGTTGCTTTAAAAAACCCTAAGAAACTATTCCAGGATGTATGAATATTATGTTTGGATGATGATTGTGTGATTACCTAAATAGTTTACTTATTTTATTTATTTTTAGAAGTGTGTTGCATTATTTACCACATGTAACAAAAGATGATAAAGTAATTTTAATTATACATGCCAATAACACCAACTAACAGTGATATCTCCTAAATATACTAATTTTTTATTTAAAAATATGTAAATGTTATATAACATGAGTTATATTATATTTATATAAGTAAATAGGAAATTATATACAGAGTGTCCCACAACTGGTAGGACACCCGTTAGGAGTAGGTAGAAGGTGCAATTTGGAACTGAAAGTTCCTCTTCCATTTTTGGGTCCGACAATTAGTTAACGAGATATTAATTAATTAAGTCTACCAATCCCTTAACGCCCTGCGTGAGCGTTCAGGGACGTAGGACATCATGGGCTCCTCAAGGGCCCTGCTTGTCCAGTTGTGAGACACTCTGTATATTAGTGTGTGTGTGAGCGATATTGCTTTCTGTTAGTACTTACTGGGATTTAACGCTCTATGCACAATGCCAGGCAACAGGCAATAGGAACAGGGAATAGGAATTCGGCTTGACCAATTATTTTTATTCCCTGTTCCTATTAGCTAATACCTATTCCTATTGCCTGTAGCCTGGCATTGTGCAAGAGCTTTAACTCTCTTTTTTTATATAAATATATCATAATTATAATGATATATACTTAAAACATTTTGTGAAATTGAAGCAAAGTGTGATAAAATTTATCATATTAGGATATCAATGCATTTTAATAGTCTCATATAAAAACTGGGTATATTATATATATCGTTATATCATAAACATGTTCCAAATATAAAAATGTTTGGAAAAAAATTCATTAGAAGTATGGCAATAGAGTATCCAGTAAATGAAGAACTAGTCGTGATATGATGTGACTGACATACTCTAGAAGATAGAAAATTTGTGAAAGAAGTCTGTTAAGGAAATTCATATAAAAGTAGCTCATAAGTATCTTGCATAGAGAGAGAGAAACCAATGTACTTTAAATATATCTTGTAGTATCTATCTTGATATATCTATACTTTAACAAAGAAGTAGAAATTTGGATTAACGAACTCTTCAATAAAAACAAGTTTACAGATCTTCACATATTTTAAAAAATATAGTTAGTCATAAAAAGTATAGTAAGTTACTTGTACTATACTAGATTGTAATGTGTATATATACATAGCACAAGTAAAGTATATAAATTGGGAAAAATTATGTTTTAAAACTAACATGCTTGTTACACACATACACACATATTGAAACAATTCCTAATCTTAGAAAATTACTCATTAACATTAATGTTAATCAAGAAGTTAGTACAATAACTACTGGGTTAGTATCATTTTCACCAAGTTTTGATGGTCCTTTCAGTTTGACATCACTTGTCCTATGTAGACATATGTTTTATATATATTTACAAACTAATCTAAACAGTTTCAATTATATCTGTTTTTATTGAAGAAATGTAATTCTGATATTGTTGCAGTTGCATGTAAAAAGATTGACGTCTTTACCAATTACTTGCAGACAAAAAATAACATCTAATTGTAAAAGCATTACGTATAGTTTCCTTATTACATTCAACAAACTTACTATTCCTACTACTAATCTTAAAAAATTATTCATTACCATTATTGTTATCAAGAAGTAATGAATTAGTGCAAGAACTACCGAGTTAGTATTGTTTTTACCAAGTTTTGATGGTCCTTTTTTGATATTTTAATGCCGCTTGTTTCATATAGACATTTATTCTACATGTATTTGCAAACTAATTTAAGAGTTTTAATTACAAGTTTTATTACCAGAAAATATAATTCTATTACTGTTACAGTTACATTCAAAAAGATTAACATCTTTACTAAATACTTACAGACAAATGTATCTTCTAACCGTAAAAACATTACGTATTGATTGCTTATTACATTCAACAAACTTACCATTTCCATTACTAATCTTGAAAAATTACTCATTATCATTATTGTTATTCAAGAAGTAATGAGTTAGTGCAAGAACTACCGAGTTAGTACTGTTTTTATCAAGTTTTAATGGTCCTTTCTTGACATTTTGATGCCGCTTGTTTCATATAGACATTTATTCTACATGTATTGACAAACTAATCTAAAAAGTTTCAATTACATCTCTTTTTATTACCAAGAAATATAATTCTATTAGTGTTACAGTTACATTCAAAATGATTAACATCTTTACTAAATACTTACAGATAAATGTATCTTCTAACCGTAAAAGCATTACGTATAGATTGCTTATTACATTCAACAAACTTACTATTCCCATTACTAATCTTGAAAAATTACTCATTACCATTGTTATTATTCAAGAAGTAATAAGTTAGTACAAGAACTGTTGTGTTGGTATTGTTTTCTTCAAGTTTTCATGGTCCTTTCTTGACAGTTTGACATCACTTGTCTTATGTAAACATGTTCTATATGTATTTGCAAACTAATCTAAAAGGTTTCAATTATATTTGTTTTATTGCCTAAGAAATGTGATTCTACTATTGTTACAGTTGCATTTAAAAAGATTAACATCTTTACTAAATATTTACAGTCAAATGTATCTTCTAACCGTAAAAGCATTACGTATAGGTTCCTTATTACATTCAACAAACTTATTATCCCCATTACTAATCTTGAAAAATTACTCATTATCATTATTGTTATTCAAGAAGTAATGAGTTAGTGCAAGAACTACCGAGTTAGTACTGTTTTTACCAAGTTTTAATAATCCTTTCTTGACATTTTGATGCCGCTTGTTTCATGTAGACATTTATTCTACATGTATTGACAAACTAATCTAAAAAGTTTCAATTACATCTCTTTTTATTATTAAGAAATATAATTCTATTAGTGTTACAGTTACATTCAAAATGATTAACATCTTTACTAAATACTTACAGACAAATGTATCTTCTAACCGTAAAAGCATTACATAAGGGTTGCTTATTATATTGAACAAACATACTGTTACTACATTACTGATCTTGAAAAATTATTCGTTAATATTAATGTTATTCGAGAAGTAATGAGTTAGTACAAGGAGCTGTTAAGCTAGTACTGTTTTCATCAAGTTTTAATGGTCCTTTCTTGATAGTTTGATGCCGCTTGTTTCATGTATACATATATTTTACATATATCCAGAAAACTAATAAAAAAAGGTTCAATTATATCTGTTATTATTATCCAAGAAATATAATTCTGCTACTGCTGCAGTTGTATTTAAAAAGTATAACATCTTTATTAAATACAGACAGAAAATAACTTCTAATCATAAAAACATTACATAATGCTTACTTCCTACCTCAGATATGTCAAATAATTTGTTTGATTGATGACAATATAACAATATATAAATGTTAATTCTGTTTTACACAGGGAAAAAATTCTGTAGGATCTTCTTTTGACTGTTTCTGCAAAGAGCAGAAGTCCACTTTTGAGAAAACACTTGTATGCGTACATGATGGAAGTTAATAGTCCCAAAATTGGGTATATTGCGGCTTGGAACATTACTATAATATATAAATTAAATATATTAAACAATATGAAAGGAATTACAAGTAAGTAAAATTAGAAAATACACCATATAATAAAACTAGTAAATGATATTTTATTATTTCAGGATGCAAAGTGGATTGAGTCCTGGTACCTGTATAGACGATGTAATGAAACTGCTACAAAGAATCAAACAATTCTTACGTATAAATTATATATTTGTCAAACTGTACTGAATTATATATTTGTAGTTCTGATATCTTAGAAAATATTTCAAACATTACTTTATGGAATAACTAACTGTCATAATAACATAATTCGTGATATAAAAACATCATAATTTTATGCAACGAGTACAATGTAAATTTTGCATCAATATGTCAATATTTTGCTATTGAAGTTTTCTGATATAGTGTATCCTTAACACGTAAACTAATTTTATATACTCTACTTTCTCCACCAACAACATTTTCTATTACCGGCCTATTTAATATACATAAATAAATTACCTTTCCTTCCGCTAATTACAGATCCTGTAAAATTCTATACGCGGTACCGCTGCATGATAAAAAAAACAGCTACTTTGGCCAACATATCCGTTGATGCTCAGCATTCGATTTCGATAAATTTCATATTTCCTCTTCCACTTAAGATTTTTCTCTACGTGGTAATTTTTTTCACCACTCTCTCACCACACGCAACACACACACACACACGCACTCTCTCTCTCTCTCTCTCTTTCTCTCTCTCTGTTTCTCTCCCTTTTTTTGTCTGTCTAATTATGAGACGAGTTTTCGTGCGAGCCGATCTCGCGCTTTGTGTCTACTCACACACATATACATACACATATCGATTATATTATTTCACACGATAATGTGCGCCGATGAAATCTCACTGCCCGCCTCATGTACTCCATTTAACATTATCACGCCACTATGTATCAGCCAACATGAGGGCACCCAGAGTGTGCGTGCCAAGACCATACGGAAGTATCGCGGCGCACCGGTTCGAATAATTTTACGCGCATGATGCATTTTATCATAGACGCATTCACGCTCTGTATGTCGTAACACCACTTTGCTCCGCTATTACTACTAATTGCTGGTACACCTATAAATATGACGAACCCTGTATAGCGTCAGTCCTTGTCGAACATGCTTCGGCAGCTCATCGTGCCTCTCATATTGGGCGGCTTTGTCGCCATTTGTTCTTGCGAGCCCGTCAACAGAAAGCACCTGCCGAGAGCTTCGTTGCTGGGAACGATCGAGTGCGCGAACGATGAGGGTGGCACGTCCAAGTGTGCCGGTATCAATGAGACGACGAGCGTGTCGACGGAGAATCACGAAGATCGAACGCGGACAGTCAGGGAAGTCGAGCCAAGATCTATGGATGACTACGAGAATTACGACGAGCCAGCCGAAGGTGAGGCTGAAATCCCATGGCATTTATTTTCCGCGTACCGCGTAAACGCGTAACCAATAAATTGCGACGTTTAGTATTTCTGTTGAAACTTCTAAAAGAATAGAAAGATGTGATTGGTTATGCGGTTACGCGTTACGCGAAAATACGTGCCATGGGACTTCCTGAGAGATTTCATGTCGATTTATTAAGGCCCGTAATTATTTATTAATACTGTAGGTATCTTAAAATTTGTCTCATGTGAGGTAATTAGATTTTTATACAGAATTAGATCCAACTTTTTCAATTGAATTATAATATATGTAATATTTATGAGAAATGAATAATTTTTGGCTAAATTGCTAAAAGTTTCAACTGAAAAATTCTCATCTAAGACCCATATCCTGTATATAAATCGTTTAAAATTCCTTTCAAGTGAGCTACTTAGATTTCATTTCAATTCAGAATTAGATAAAAGTTTTTCAGTTTTCGTATCTTTATTTTGAATCGTGATTGCAGATATAATGCCACACATATTATATAACTCAACTAAAAAATTTAGATTTAACTCTAAATAAAAATCTGAGTGTCTCATATGAGACAAATAACAACTATTAATATGGTCCTAAATCTGAATTTAAATCTCAATATCTCATTTGAGATGAGTCTCAACTAATAACTGCTAATTATTCGTAACTGCTAATTATTCTTAAGCGTTTCGTCTATTATACGTCATTTAGTTGACGATTTAATTGAGGATATTATTTGAGAAGAAAAAGGAAAACATTGCTAAGATGAAAAAATTTGAGTGTTATTAGTTTTAAAGTAATTGATTAGTTTTTGGTTTGCAAAATGTCATTTGTTCTAAAAGTGTACTTTGTGTTTCTTTTTAATTTCTTGATAAGCTCTATCTTGATATCTTGCACAGGGAAAAAGGTTCGATTAAATTAACGTCACAATGAATAAATCTCCTCCCAATTTAATTAATCAAAATTATGATTATACAAACTCATCATTCAAATTCTGTTTCTTTTTATCAAAAAGTATTTAGACTTTGTTCATTATCATTGTTAATTCCATCAATCTTTTTTCTCCGTAATACTTTCTATCTTTCTAATACTTTCTATCTAGTTTGAACAAGTTCTATTTCGATGAGTTCTTATAAACGTAGTTTTAATTAATTGCGTTGGAAGAAGAAGGTTTAAACTAAAATAAAGCTAAACTTAAATAAAGTAGCACGACTAATAGTCACTCTTTTTGGCTTTTCAGTTACTGGCCGTAAAAAGAGACGCGGAGGTCAAAGAATATTATTGTATATGCTTGGAGCTATGAAAGCAGCAATAATTTACGGACTATTACACGGAGTTGCAGCTCTTGCGGGAAAGGCGGTGTTAGTTGCTAAAATAGCCTTAGCTATCGCAATCGTTGCAATTTTGAAAAAGAATGGTACGTACTAGTAGGTACGTAATACGTGGTAGGTAAGTTAGGTAAAGTAGGTAAGTTAGAAAATTGTAACCTGATTTTCATCATTGAAAATTTTTCACATCTTCTTTCACATCTTTGAACTTCCATGATCCAAAATCACGTATAAATTTACAAGAACTTGCGAATTATAATTTTCTTTTTTTAACTTCACTATATAAAATTTGTCTATCTAAAGCAATAATTGCTTTCACATTTATTCTAAATCAGATTCTAAATTTTTACGTGAACATTTTTCTTCGTAAAGATTCGAAGTTATTTAAAAATTAAAAATGAAATCCAACTCACAAAATTTTATTTTTTTATTTTTTTGTCATCAATAGTCCATACGTCTTTCTATATACAACCCAAGATTTTTATAGGCACTTAAAATTAATTAAAAAAACAGTGTTTATTTTCTACTAATTGCGCCATTTTTACTAGTTGCATCTTTTTTACCCATTTTCTAAGAGTTAAGATTGCAATGAATACGTTTAAAGACAATTAATCATGCTTGACTCTTTGAACGATTGCGAAAAATCTCAGAGTTATCTGTATTTTTTAAATTAAATTTTCATCTTTATTTTTCTCGAAACACACTTTATGTGGGTTGGATTATTCTTGCATAACTATGATCAATTAGTTCCTAGGAACGGTGCGAACTTGTCACGACCTCCATTATATGACAAAAGAGGAAGCTCCTGATTTCGGTGGAACGTTTCACTTAGCGAGCTCTTTGTTTCAGATCATGAGAAAACATCTTACGAGATAGTGAAACATCCACAACACAGTTTCGTACAAACGCATAGTTCAAGTGTCGATTACGATCACCGTAGTGATTACGGCGAAGACGGATACGAACATCGAAAACGACGTCGGGTTCAACGATAAAGATAGATCTTAAATAATTAATAATTCACAAGCAACGTGAATAGCATGAATTAGCGACTACTCATACTTACGGAAACTCCATGTGTGCTGCACCGAAGAAGAAAGAAGAAAATAACACTAAAAATGGCAAAGATTACCGAGATTCAATATATATTCGCACGACAACATAACTAGACAGCACAAGACATCTTAAAGACATCCAAAAGACATCTTAAAGACATCTGAAAGATACATAACATCTAAAGAAACATCTAAATAAAATAGGATGTTTTTTTTTTGGACATCTTTAAGATATTTTGTAGAAATTTGTGTCATCTGGGTAGATTCGATTTAGACGAATATCTTGTAGTAGAGGCTTTGCTCCGCATATCTCATAATGTTATATTATGTAATAATTATGTTATGTAATAATTATACGATTATACAAAATTACACGATAAAAATATAATGCGAATATAATGCAATAATCTGTAAGCCTTTAAGTACAGATGTATCGTAATAAAGGCACCATATAATCGTCCAAATTATATTTAAATAAATAATTTAACTTTATTCCCCTTCTCGATACGCTTGGAATTCTTTACATAATGTACATATTAAATTTTTTTCATAACATTAATAAATAAATAAATAAATATATATATATATATATATTAACATTAAATATACACACGTTATTTGGTATTCGGTATCACTTTAATGTTAACGCCGAATATTATATATTATTCTTACGGAATAATTATGTTAGATAAAAATTATATATATATATATATATATGTGTGTATGTGTGTGTGTGTGTGTATTTAACACACACACACACACACACACACACACACACACACACACACACACACACACATATATATATATATATATAACAATAGTATAATAAATTAAACAGAACGCAATATAAATAAAATACAAGACGCACACGATATTGTGAGATATAAACATGTCAGCCGTCTCGAATTTACATTCGTATTCTAATTCAGTCGATATTAACGAGAGATGAAATTCCTAAATTGATGGGAAATCCAGAACGAAACGTTTGCTTGTCGACTCAAAGTATGAAATATCCCTTACAGAAAAATCTCTTCAGTATTACACACTGTTTATTATTTATGTGACAATACGTTCGTCGAGTATAAAAAGAGAAGGATGATACACATGAGGTCTTATTTCAGTCCGTGTTGGAGAATAAATTAATGCTTTTCAGAACGCTATTGGATGCATCAGGAAAGGCGCGGTGTTATGTTATACGAAGCTTCGATATTTGCGGTGAATGTCGATTCAGGTGGGCGGAACTACTTCCATTGCTCGTTGCCAGCCACCGTAACCACCACCGCCGCCGTATCCGCCACCACCGCCGTGATGCTCCGACGCTGTCGCGTAGATCACTTCATGACCACCACCTCCGCTCGATACGAGCTTTTTCAAGCCGACTATCGCGCTCAACACCAGTGCCATCTTCGCCGTCAGTAACGCCGTTCCGGCGAGGAAAGCTATTTTCCCGTAAGCCAGTTGCGCCATCATTCCTACACAGATACGATTCGCGTCATAAGATGCCGATCAGGATATTGACGATCGCACGAGCACCACTAAAAGGATTGATTGTGCTTCTTTGCAATCGTTTTCAATATTAGGGAAACGTAAAAGTGAAGAAAACGGTCCTTTATTTATCAACTAGATCGACATCGATTAGAGATATAAGATTGATGCACAATTTTGTTCGAGAAGGGGTTTCTGCTAAAATATACTGAGAAAAAAGTATTTGAAATTTGTTTGCGGGATATAAAGTTTATTTTTCTGTAAAATCAAATTTATATCTCACAAATAAATCAATTACTTTTTTTTAGTGTAACGATTTGACTTTCTATTTCTTCATTATTAACGTTAGAATTGCCGAGACAGTCAAAATATCTGGTTTGTACTTTCTTATAAGAATTATTCAAACTTATAACGTGCGTTTTACACTTTCAATTGAAGTTAAATAATATCAGAAAAAAATTAATATCTTTTCCTTTATATTACGTATTTTTTCAAGAACTTATCATTTTGGTCGTTCTGATAGAAACAAGTCGTTAGTCATCTTTTTGCGTTTAGTCCTTCCACTTTACTTTAGTATCTTTTTACTGTGATATCTCTAAATTTTCGAGGGGATACTCACCTGCTAACACGGCGCCCGCCATTAACAGATATCCAAAACCTCTGTTTTTTTTCCTTCTTCCTGCAAGTATTACAAATATGTCAGTTACAAATATGAGCGTTAAATTTAATACTCGTAATATTCAAATAGTATCTCTCCACTATTCATTGCAACAAATTGCACTCCTTTAACGCAAGGAGTAATATTAGTCGTAAAAGAATTTTCAACTGCGTCTCACCGCGATAATTTAATCAAAGATACTTATTAACATGTAGCGAGACGAAGACTCGAGCTGAATCGATGTGAATGTCTTAAATTTCGAAAATTGGAAATGTTGATTCGCGCCTTTAGGAGGACAAAACGCGGTAAATTACTATAATTCCAATAAATTTTGCTTGGTATCATATCTTTTTACAAGAGGTACTATTTTAATAAATAAAATGTTAATATTTTAGTAATGAATATCACGTTAAACTTTTACTAATAAACTAAATTCATTACTAATTTACTAAATTAAAATTTTATTAATAACATATTAAAAACATTATTAGTATATTCGCTAATTATGTGTTTTAAAATTTCGAATGAAATATTACAATTCTCTTTGTCTCCTTCTATATATATATATATATATATATATATATATATATATATATATATATATATATATATATATATATATATATATATAGATAATATATAATGTATATATAAATATACAAACACGCGCTCAATATGTCAGTAACTTAATAACGCTCTCAGATTAAAGCACTACCTTCGAAAGCATTGCCGGGTATCGTGAGCTTCAGGCTCCTGGACGACAGATACTCGTAGAACTTGTTATCCAGCTTCTGATCGAGGCTCAGTTCCGTGGCATTCTCGGACGTGGCCGGATCTTGGCTTCTCGCAGTGGACGCTGCCGAGTCCTTGGTGATCGAGATGTAATTGTTGATCTTGTACACGGAGTCGTCGCTGATCGCCGAGTCGAGGATATCCAGGGCGCGCCGTTTGAAGCAGTCGAAGGTGTTCTTCTCGTTCGTGCACCTCTCGAACAGCTTCGTGTACTCACTTTTGCCAGACACCAAGTTGCAGAACAACGCAAGCTGAAGGACACGCAAGATCCAGATCGTCGAGCGTCGCTTGCCCATCATAGTCGACGGTGTCGTTCGCACGCGTCCGCGCCCGAGCTCTCTCGTCGGATTCTCTTCCTCGTCTGTGCCCTCTCAGCTGTTCTCCAGCGCAATGGCCACGGGCTGCTATTGCGCTTCCACGTTTCCACCGGCTACTACTGTTCTCTCCGCTCTGGTCAGCTGGTCAACTGGTCGGTAAACGCCGCCGACTAATTGTGAGAATCTGGTTGCATTGTGACTTATATAAGCGCACGCGGCTGTTTAGCCTCTCCTACCAGGCGACCATTAAAATTCTTAGGATACGCGGTTCGTACTTGAGATCCACGCGCTGTTTAACGCTACAACAACGGGAGGAGAGACCCCTCAACCAAAACAATGTCGTACAGCCCCGTAAGTAAGTATCCCTCTGACCCGCTTGCCAAACGAGCCTTAAACGGCCCCGTGCCAACTCCGTCGTTAATAGCGACGTATCAGAATCACATTGGAATGAAGGTAGAACAGATGACGCTCCACTCAGTTGTATGATTGCAGGATACGAGAAAGCCGAAAGAAACTGAGCTGCAGTCCGTCAATTTGCACGCACGACTAGCTTTACGTGTTGCATGATAAAACAATATGAGCAGAAGACGTGAAAATATTTGTCTTGTCGATCAGAGGCAATTGAGTTCGATGGTGAAGGTAAAATAATAGAGACCTCAGTGACCGCCAATCCGGAATAGTTCTCAATGTACCTTCAATATACGTCGGTATTCGACGTTCATCCGATGTAAATGATCGAACAATCAATATTAATTATCTCAAGGACACAGTAAAACATGTGTAGAACGTTTAGATATGTTCAATTTTTATACATATAACACAACAAGCTCTCAAGATATACAGTTAAAAATATATCACTCAAATATATCTCAGAAACAAAGCAAAAATTTTGAAAGAATTGCAGATTAATCTATATTGCATTTAAGTTACACAAATAATTTAACACGAGCTTGGATCAAAATTTCACTTTGAAAATTATTTCACTTTGAAATTTGAGTCCCAGCTAACTTGATGATGTCAAATAACACATTAATGACGTAATATTAACGTTAAAAACGTTAGAGATGTAGGGAGTCCCTGTAAAAAATCACTAAAGAGAGAGACTATTAAAATTAGAGAATTAATATTTTTATAAAATCCTATAGTATATAGATACGCAATACTTGAATTAATTAACAACATATTTTTACTTCAACATCACCTCTTTTTATAGTTTATTTGTTTTATTTTATATTATTTCTGACTTTTTTAAGCTTTTATTGCTGAATCATAATGAAATTTTGCATACATTATTTTAAATACTTAAAGTATGCGAAATACATATATGCGAAAAGAGAAATGAGATTTCCGTTATTTTGTAATTATCTTTTCCTTTGCTAAAAAAAGCAACATTATATGTTTCTGTACACAGAGAAAACGATTTGGTTGAATCAAATAAACGCTTCTCTGGAATAGTCCAAACGAATTTTTTGATTGATTGAACAAAATGTTGTTTGAAACAACAAAAATATTTATTTGCGGCTTAGTTGCAAAGAAATATTTTTGTTGTGTCTACTAAATAATTTGTTTGGACTGTTCCAAAGAAACATTTATTTGATTCAATAAATCGTTCTCTCTGTGTAATAGCACAGATAAAAATGCTCCTAAATAGCAAGGTAATGTCAAATGACATATTAAAAACGCATTGATAACATTAGATATGTTATTCTAATAAGCTCACCCCGAAGAGATTAAATAATATATTAAATCACAAACAAGGAATTCATTCTAATTATCGCGAGGACGTCGAAATCCGGATTAAGTTTCGAGAAATACAAGTGCAATTGTGATCAATAAGTCATTGGACGGCAACCAGGTTGAATTTCGTCACAGCATCGCACATCAACGCTATCCACACGCATGTCGCTGGATCTCAGACGTGTTGAATTCGCTAATTACTAACGCCACATTTTGTCGCTGGGAGTATATAATTATGTTGGAATGTCCGTGAGGACGCGAAACGGAAAGCGCGTCCGGTCGATCGCTACGAAAGCGATACCGACCTTTGTTATCAGATAATAATCAACGAATGGCGAATGAATCGCGATTATTACGTATTAATGTATGAATATTTTCACAGCATTATAGCTCTTACCGTCAATGTAGCGCGATGCAGCGACCAATCAAGGTCTCGCGGGGAACTTATTAACATGGCGCACTCTGAGATACTGTTAATCCGGCACAGATTACGCTCCGTGACGAGCTACATTCAGAAAGCAACTTGGGCAATTACGGAGTAATGGACTTGATTAACGCTGTCCACTGTGTATTCAATGTATTCGATTTTCTCTCTCTGTTTCTCTCTCTCTCTCTCTCTCTCTCTCTCTCTTTCTCTCTCTCTCTCTCTCTCTTTCGCGATTTCCTTTGCCGAATGTAGGCTACTGGTCGCACAGCGAGTCGAATTCGCTCTTGCTCCTCCGCGTTTCCGTCTGAAATCCGACGAATTCTGTCCACATCAACGAGAGGATAATCTCGCGAATTACTCAACGAGATGGATTCATTGTGCACTTCACTCTTCGTTACCTTAATGATACGGTAGGAGCAATTATCGCGAAGAAAGCGTCATACGTTTGAGCGTGAGATACTTTTTTTCACGGTCTCATTATCCAATGTGGCATTGTCAACAATGACATCGTTGTTGTTCCTCAAATAACAACGCTTCCGTGCGGAAGAAAGGATTTGTTTGGATTAACCAAGTGTCTGGTGGAATATAAGCGAATTAAAATTCTGATTGAAATTACCAGAATTCTGCTTAAGCTAACGAGATCCTGCACGGAAAAAACAATTTCAGCTCGGCCAACAGAGTGGAAAACGGAAGAAAAACTCGCTATCAAAAAATAATATCTCTGTGAGCGAAGATATTCGTTTGAACGTTGAGCTGCATTAAAACCTAGTTGAGGTAACTGAAAGCAATTGACTGAGCAGTGGTCTGCAGGAATTCTTCTGTTCCCACAACCGAGTTTTTCATCTAGTTCCCATGTAACAGAAAATTCAATCTCATTAATGGAGTTTTTTCTTTCCGTGTAATTGATCAAACAAGATTTCGGATTAACCAGAACTTGCGACTGTTCAACAGACAGACAGACAGACATTTTTTTCTCTATATATAATTATTTTTCTATATATATTCTCTATATATATTCTCTATATATAATATATAATTTTTTCTATATAATTTCTCCTATTGTTGTCTTTCTTATTTCTCTGGCAAAATTTAGTTATTACCTGTGCATCGTTGGCACGATAAAGTTATTATTATTATTATTGTCGTTATTACTATAACTGATATTTCCGCTTAACTGAAAATTTAGATTAATTGGAGATCGTAACTATCCTCGATGTGTAATGCGTATCTAATTACTAAATCGAGCGGCGATGTAGAAAATTGTAGGAAGGAACATTTTAAGTATCGTCTACAATACGGCCATGGTTTCCGTCGTAAAGTTATAAATTTCTTTCACGTAATTTCGTGAAAAATGAAAAGCTCCATTGACGAGCTCAACGAAACTTTTCATTTTTCACGAGTCCGCGCGCAGGAAATAGACACACGATCGATTTATAGACCGGTGCTACGACCTCAGGGCGTAACCGCTACCGCATTGTAGACGACCCTTTAATCTCGTGAACGACAGAAGAAGAAAAGCGGCGCGGGTTCGGCGAAAAATTTTTTCCACCGACTGTTACGGTGCGCGTACACGTCGATGTGCCCCCGCCTTGATTGTTATATCTGACAGAAGAAGTTATGAGCACGCGGTGCATTCGCGTGACCGTAAAGATACGGTAGTATTTTTCCTTTACAAGCAAACGCGTTTCCCGGATGTAGCCATCGCCATTCCTGCGGATGGTGCGATGTGAGAGCGACAGAGAAAGAGAGAACTGGTACAGTTAGACGACCGAAAGAAAGAACGACGCAATAATGAGACTAATGGCGCCGCCGAGTGAAAACACGAAGGATCTCAGTGACGAACCTTGCCGCCGGTGGACAAATATACCTTGAAACCGACAGTGAACTCATAATGAGGGTCATTACTGCACAATGACGAGAAGGAGCGATCGTTTTCCTCATAAACTGATAAAATATACGCTCGGCTGGTGAGATAATTATACGTCGTGCTCATTGCACAAATCTAAGACGAGAAGAAGAAGAAGAATGAGGCGCTTCTCCCGACTAAATCAGTCTTTATCGGTTTAATTGTACGTTTAATACACGCAACAAGACGAGAATATTACACTAAATATTCTACCTTGCTTTCCCCTCTCTCGATGGAAAGTCACTTAAGAGAATTTATAATTCTTTTCACTCAAGGAAAGGATCGATTAAAAAAAGATTATTATTCTCTTATGAGATCTCTTTGTATTTCCTTTTACATTTTTATGACCTTGTTAAGGAAAACGAACGGTGGTTTTAAAATATTCAGCTTTTTATTTACATTTGTATCAATAGTTTTTCTAAATACTTACACAACGACGAATATTGCAAACGGAAAAGATGTTTAAAGTATTGATGCACCGTCATTGAATCAAGCCGTAATTTTAGAAGTTAGGAATTCTTAAAGGCTCTACTTTATTCTAGCAACGCGATAATCAATTGAGGGCATCTCCTACATTCTAAGATAATTGAAGAGAACACTACAATTAGAACTAGACCTAAATCTAAGACGGATATTTAGGTTTGACGACTACTTCGCTGGTGATTGCCACGTTCATCTAAACTTTATTACAACTACGTGCTTTGATGCAATTTTTTAAATAAAAGAAGGTGAGACTTTCAGAATCTGCAATGAGAGAAAAAAGTTCGGAAAAGATATTTATTTGACGGGTTCTAATAACATATTTATCTGTACTAATATATATATTCCTGTACGAAAGAAATGTATCCTCAATGTAGAAATATAATACATTTCTACATTGAGAACAAATTTCTTTCAAACGAGGAAAGTATGTATTTTCCTAAAATCGTTATTTTTTCATAAAAACAATCGATTATTCTATTGAACGGAAGAATTTAGATTTAAGTGAATATATGTTATTAATACCCAACGCGGATAAGTATTTTTTATTTTTCAGATATTTTTCCTATCAATGTGCATCTGCTTGGAAATCAAGGGCCAATAAAGGGCTTAATAAGAGGTTAATATCGCGCAAATTTTACTATGATTATTCGATTTATTCGATTATTAATAAAGATTCGAAATTGAAACCGAAATGTCTGTTCATTAATTAGTTGAATCGCTTGACGTTAAGTAATCAACAATTTGCGCGATTTTGACGACATTTTGACTGAAAAAAAATACTTGAAAATTATTGTTATTACTTGTGAGACATAAAGTTTATTTCTGTGAAATAAAGTTTATTTGTGCGATATAAAGTTTATTTCTGTGAAGTAAACTTTTTGTGAGATAAAGTTCATTTCCGTGAAATAATTTGTCAAGTATTTTTTTCTCAGATAACATAAGGCTCCCATTGGCCCTTAATTTCCGACTAAATATTCTTGGTCCAAGCAAAGTTCTTCGTGTTCTGCTTGCCCTGCTCCAGATCGCCGCTGCCGTCGTAAACGTTCACGACCTCCCGGATGACGTGCTGATCGTAAGGACTGAATTCCGACGGCGGTAGTGTTCTGTAAGGCCGATGCGGGAAGTAATGGTCGTGATAGTAGTGCGTGTCTATCGGTATTTCGTGCGCGTAAGTGTGGAAGCCGTTGAACCCGTTCGGCGGGTGCGGAGCCGAGGCTGCGGAGAAGAGCGTGTTCCATCCTAGGAGGCCGCTCACGAACAACGCCACCTTCGTCAATAGCAGCGCCTTCTTCGTGACGATCATCAGGAAGCCGAACATGAGCGGGATCAGGGAAGCCAAATTGAACTTGAAACCTAAGAGAAACGGCAGCAGTACGTGCCGCGCGAGCTGCTTACCTGAAAACGACACAAGCCGACCGTGAATCCACGACGGCAAGGCCTCGGCGGCCTTGACCGTGCTGCCAACTGAAGGACGTTCTTGGAAGCAGCTGGCCGACGTGCCACGACTCTTAGTGAGTACAAGGAGCCGCGACGAGGTTCACTTCTGCGCTAAGACAGAGCGGCGCGGGTAATTCCGCGTGTAACGAGCCGCAGTCTTTCGCGGCAGTCGCTTTGAGTCAATTCTATTCGTTCCTCGGATTACCCCGCAAAGAATCCGTAACGGCGGCCTTGCTATTACGACATCGCATTATTTTGTCCACTTTATAAGCGGTAAACCAACCGAGCACGCAACCGCAACCGTAACATTCCAAATCATGAGTCTCCTCCGCGCACGGAGATCTCACGATGGAGAGTAATTTAGCCTCGTCGAAAAAGCTGGATACCTCCGTCTTTGTAATACTAAGGGCTCACGGCAGTTCGTCAGACCACTGATGGTTTCATTGGCTCGAAAGATGGGTCATTTTACAGAAGCGGAATTAATGACCTGAAAGATGAAAATAGCGGATAATGATGGCACGTTTCAATCGAATATAGCGCGTAAGGTTTTATTATTGTCACTGAGAAAATCAGGTTGACAATCCGACGAACTTTCGCAAGCCCTTTGTATTTTTTTAACAACCTACCCGGGCCAGCTTGCCTGTCGTTGTACGAAGCAGTCCTTTCGTTAAGGACGAATTCCAGCACTCCCTCGCCGTTCAACATCGGACCGACGCGCATCTGCAAGCCGGGGTACAGATGATCCAAGTTCCACTTGACGTTCCGCCGCTCCATCAGTCTGGCCGCGGCCTTCACGACGTTCCCAAAGTCCTTCGGGTCGTAGTCCAGGTCCAAGAGGTCCCTGCCGTAGCCCTCCGCTCGGTCCAGCCTCACCTTGCCGAACTCCAAGCTGTCCTTGTCGTTCAAGGACTGCAGAGCACTCAGGATGGCGCGGTTCACGCACTCGAACATGCCGTGCTCCTTCTTTGACAGGCACATGCCGAAGGCATCGTTGAAATCTTGCGAGTGTCCGGGGTTTTCCAGCGGGACGTGCTCCCTCGGCTCCATGACCACCGTGATCCCCGTAGACACGAGCACGAGCAGGCAGAGCTTGAGTAGTTCGCTCTTCATCGTCGCGCCGTCGATCTTGTCGCAAGCCAGACGTACTCAAACGCGACCGAACATCGGAGGAAGGATCTACAGAACTGGGGAGAACCGAACAAGCTTCTGCACGGTTGAACTTTTCCGTCGAGGGCTGACAGACACCGACAGATTGTTGTCACATCGTCAAAAAATGACGTAAGATTCGACAAGCCCTTGGCGCACTCCTTACACCCTCGAATTACCGAAACATTACAACTTTATTTTCCTTTCTTTTCTTTTTGTTTTGTTTCAGGACGAACTGCGCTTCTCGTCGACGGAGAGAACGCGGAGCGCTCGTGTGGCCGCGGTTCCCGTAAAATACTGCTCATTCTGCACCCACGATCACCCAGCTATATAGGCGACAAGGGAGCGTTCACACACGACAGAACAATCGGTTTCACTCTGTGGATTTTACAAGTAGCGAAAGTACACTTCTCATTTGTATTTGGCGTTTGTATACAGCGGGCGCTTGTAGTCGATACACCGGATGCACCCGAGGAGAGTAATTTCCGCCGGCGGAAGAATGGAGCGTCGAGAAGATCGTTACTACGTCAGATTGATGAGACAGGCATGATAGTCGGAGGAAAAGAATTGAGGGACGCAAGTAGCGCAGACATAATTGCCGAATTCGCGTAAGTAAATCCGGGACAGTCGAAATATGAGGATGCCGTTTGCGGACAACAGTCCTGAATTCGGACCTCTCGAGGTGTCCTTAAAAAAAAAGAAATTTGTCTTTTCATCGGAGCCACGTTACATCTGTCGATCGTTGAATTTCTACTCTGCTCTTTGTCCTACAATTCTCTTTATCCATTCAGGATAATATTCTCGCTCGAGTGAAAGTCAGTAAAAATGTCTCGGATTGAATCAGCAAGAGGAGCATTTTACTGATAATTGAAGATAATTCCCAGTATAGAGATATAAAACGAGAATCAGATAAATCGGATAATTTGTCACTTGATAAGTCAGCGAGTATTCAATGATCCTCAGTAGAAACTCTCCCACTTTACTCCTCCATCTTGTATCTCACTGATGGGGGCCACAGTGGCAGCAAGATTTCACCGCAAAATCTGTGGTACATAAATTCGTTGCACCAGATCCAGCTTTCTGCGTTCATGACGATGGAATAAATAAATAAAGGTGTAAATAAAGGCTTTCTTGCGCACGCAGAGAAAAAGACACGATGGTGGCAATTATTTATAGCCGACAACTGTACGAGTTTTGCGTGAAGAATTAATGCGTATATAGTTCAGTGAACTTCTTTGTAATTATATTCTTTATAGTTATACACACACTGCAATTAAAGCTTTAGTCTACTACAATAACTATAAAGATGGTTTATTAAACTGTTACATTGTAATTCTGCACATTGAACTCGTGTAGTTGACCATTGCCACGCTTTTCTCTAAGTTTTGGCACTGTCTTTCAAACTGTATAAAAAATTGCATAAAAAATATATTGAACAATCGTCATTATTAACTGATTCTCTCAGCGAGATTTGATTGTGACTACAGTGCTATACTTACAACTGAGCCATCAGTTATAAGCGCAAGATATTTCAATGAAGAATACACTGATTGTGTATTCTAAAGAGTTTAATTTTTACGATTCACACTTTATAAGAGACTTATTTTTTCTATGAAGGATAAGGTATTCAAGGACAGCAGAGTTAAAAGAGCTGATGTATATTATATAAAATTACAATTTATTTATAAATAATACGATAAGTTACATGATGTGATCCCGACAGGGGTGATCGATATATAAATAATCATTGGATTAAATCTGGTGGTCTCGCGCGAGCATTGACTACGAGTCGATTCGCGTGCGGATTAGACGCGAAGGACTCTGAAAGGATACTGCGCGAGTGATCGAGGGGGCGCGACCTCTACCGCTGTGACAGGTCACCGTTTTGGGAGAGTTTCGAGATTCTCGTTGATCTCACGAATAACAATCTTTCTTCGTCGTTATCGTCGTCGTTGTCATCGTCGTCGTTGTCGTCATCATCGTTATCGTCGTTGTCAAGGATTGCCGGGGCGCGCATCGAGCCTTCATGCACGTCGATGCGGAATCCCCGTCGTCGGCTACCATCGTCGTGTCGTCGTGTGTCGCGTGCTACGGTTCAAATCCGGTAACGAAGTGCTCGTCCTTGAAGGATAGTCGCACGTTCATCAGCGTGCGATTGCGTTTTCAATCTGGTTCGTCGTTCTTGCGTCGCAGAACGCAAGTCTCCTTCGAGTTGTCTTCAAGAGAGACAAAGAGAGAGAAAGAGAGAGAGCTGAGCGTTTGTCGTCCGCGGTTCCCTGAGAAGCTGGGTCACGCCACCCTCGGGTGACCGCCGGGGTTAGAGACGATCACTTTGGCGAATGAAGGTAGAGAGTTAGGGGGGAGGGAGATTGTACGAGACATTGAGCTATTCAGAGGGCTTATACGCGTTGTACGCGAGATCCGCGCCGGACCTTGCCCAGCCGTGATGGTCATGGTGGACATGCTCGTCGTGTCCGTAGGAGTGGACGGGGTGAGCGACGATGTCGTAGCCGTGGTGCTTCTGAGCCAGCAGTTTCTGCAGACCGATGATCAAGCTGATGATGAGGGCGATCTTGCCGATGACGAGGGCCTTGAAGGCGATCAGCGCCAGAGCGCCGAGGGCGATCGGGATGAGGGCGGCGGCCTTGAGTTTCAGAAGAAGGAGAATAGGCAACAGGGATTTCACGATTCTCTTCTTTTTGCCACGAGCTGAAACGTTATTTCGGAATATAAGTGTCTTGGGCCCGTATTAATAGTCGTTACTTAAAGCTTTCAAGTGAGATACTTAGATTTGAGTCCAGAGTCGGATGAAAGTTTCCTTGTTGAATTGCGATTATATATATTGTACAATTCGATTGGAGAATTTGTGTCTAACTTTAAATAAAAATCTAAGTATCTCACTTGTTTCATAAGTCACAATTATTAATACGGTCTTCAGGCTGACATCATTAGTTATTACTTGAAACTTATTTTACGTATGATACTTAGTGAAGTATGGTGAAGTAAGTGCGATACTTAAGTCTGAATTTCAAGTTAAATCTGAGTTCTTCGATTATAAATATCACGATACGTGTTACATCTGTAATTGTTATTCAACCGGAAAATTCAAATCTAAAATCAAATTTAAGTATCACTTGAAATAAGTTTCAAACGTGACGACTATTAATACAATCTAATCTCGTAACCTGAAACTTGTTCTTATTCGTCAGATCTAAATTTAGAATTAGATTTGAGTTTTTTATTTGAATCATATATGTGACATTAGATTTGTAATCGCGATTCAATGGAAAAACTCACATCTAACTCTAAATTCAAATCTAAGTATCTCACTTGAGACAAGTTTCAAGTTAAGACTATTAATCTGAGTCTCTCTTTTCTCTCTTTCGAGCGATCAGATATAATTTCAATTATGTTCCCCTTATATTTAATTGTCTACATTTTTTAATTGAGATATAATTCAAAGGATAAAAATTCTGCTATTAAAAGTTTGTGGGTGAGGTCAGAAAGTTTTTTATTTTAATTTAGAAGATTGGTAAAATTGAATTTTACCTTCGTCGAAGGAGCGAGAGACCTCCTCGGGCAGGCTCAGCTCGACGGTGTGCGTGGACAAGAATTTGGCGGCTCTGTCAACGAGGGCCTGGTCGATCGCGGCTTCTTTGGCTTCGGTCTCGGCTGGCAAGGTACTTTCGATGTCATTGAGAGACCTCGCATTGTCAGCGCGGCTGAAAAGAAACGATTCCATTCTTATTATGGTCCACTTGCATATATCTGTCGAGACAGGCACGCCAACAACTTTCTATACTACTGTTATAACAAGCGGACGTTCGACTGAGTGCTCAGCAGAGTGAAGTGGTACTCGAGCTTACATCCCCTCACGATTAGAAGTAACAAGAACGCGATGTTAGAGTGACTTGCTAGTTTCTCAGTTCGCGAGAACGATCGAATTCGAGAATTTGATAATTGGCGAGATAATTATCCAAGTGATCGAATTGTCAAATCCAATGGCTTTCGAGTTCTTTTTTAGAATGATCGAAATAATGGCGAGATTGTCAGTTCTTCTTTAACAGATCAAATAACGTGCAGCGAACGCTTGGTTTACGCATGTGCGTGCCACGCGGGCGATCTCGTGCACTCGGACGTAGCGAAAAATGCTCGAGGCTCGGCTCTCGTTCACGCGTTCACCACACGGGTCACCTGGCGCGTTTCTCACGTCCCAATTTCACTCGGCGCCGACTACGATATCGTTCCCGAGTGGTCCCGAGCCACGGTGAAACGAGCGCGGCGATCACAGTCATCCCGAGCAGAGCGATCCTCGCCGGCCCTTACCTGTTCTTGGCCTCCTCGGTCTGCACGATCTTGAATCCGTCGATGATGTCGATGTCGGCCGATCGGGCGGCACGGTCGACGTAGCGCAGGGCCTTCAGTTTGAGACACACCGCGACGCTCGATTCCCCGGAGCAGGAAGCGTACACGTCGAGGGCTTCCTCGAGGATCGAGGTTGGCGCTGCCGCGGCCGAGTCCTGTGCCGCCGGTGCGGCCAGGGTGGATACCACGAAGAGCGCTGTGCCGACTATCGCGAGTCTGAACATCTTGGCGTGAATTTCTTGACGTGAATTTGTCGGGTACGATGAAGATGGCACACTAAGCCGAGCCGATTTACTCCAACTCCTACGTAACTGATCCTCACTATTGCTGGTTCTCTTGCCCTTCCTCTCGCTTCTCCGCGCCGCCTTGCGATAATCAACTCCCTCAACGTCCTGGCTCTCGTGGTGCGCGTTGATGCTCGAACGAGTACGGCGATCGTATCGACACTGCCCGAAAGAATCACGATTGCTGCCTTTTATCCTCGTCGCGAAAGGGGCCCGCGTACGTTTTTGAAATTTTGATGGCCCCCACCGGGTGGCCCCCGCCGGGTTGCCAACCCATACGAGCTATTGGTTCTCCTCCAGGCGGTCGATCCGTTCGTGTCGTGTGCGTCTCTCGTTGACGCGCCTCCACACCGCGCGCTGGTCCTTCTCCATCGACTCTCCTCTCCGCGTGTGTGCCTACTTACTTAGGTCGTTTGTGTACACAACGGGTGTGTTGGCCCCCGACAAACCCGCCCTGTGCGTGTGCGTAGCGCGAGCTCTCACGCACACGCGCGCACATTCGCGAGAAAACGCGCCAAGGGGAGAGGGCGAGGAAGAGAGGAGAGAGAGAAAACGAGAGAAAGATGATGTGTGCCTACGCACACCGCGTCTCTGCCTCTCTTCTCCTCTCCGTGGAGATCGGCCCCGCCGCGATCGAATCGAGGGAGACGTTTCGGCACGGGTCAAAAGCACCGAGAGCACCGATCCACCGGCCGAGTTGGATCACTGGGACGCGTCCTTCGGGAATTCGTTCCGATGCGAATTCGCTCTCGTCGCTGCTGGCCCCACGACTATCGCTAATCTCTGTCGGCATAATGACGGCGTCGCGCGGCATCTGCGGCGAAATTTGCTCGAGAAATTACTCGGGAGAGTAATTATGAGCTCGCTTTGCGTAGCCTGGACCAGTGGCTGGTGCGATCTGCAGTAGGTCGGTTCGGACACATTCACGTTACGAGCTCTCACCGAACTGTCGAAATCGTTATTGACGGGTTCGCCCAATAATTACATCACTAATTCTTCTTGTTATTATTTCTTGTTGCTTAATGTTTCTCATTGTATCATTAATTATATTATTATATTGCGTAAGTGTCGATAATGACTTTCCATTTTGACACTTTGTCGAGCCAACTTCATCGTGTCTAAATGACGTTTTACAGGGCACCGTACATAGCAGCTGCGACAGGAATCGCCTACTTGCGAGAAGACTTTCAAAGAGACACATGCGCAGTGCCCCATGCATTAAAGATGAATTATTTGCGGTTGCATGAATTATATGCGGCGTATCCTCTTCTCTCTTTCTTTCTTGCTCTCTCTGTCACCGAAACGACTCTCGGAATGACTTGCTGAGTCGACTGGCCTGTCGTAATTAGTCCCCGAGCGAGAGAGTGCGGCCGTAGTGTTCATTTTGTCGTTAAACCGTATCTCCTCTCCGCCTGATTATGTACCGTAACGCGCATCGACGAGGTCGCGTCGTCGCGCGGTATCTTTAATTAACCTGCACCTTTCTACCTTCCCTCTACCCCTCCCGAGTAACGAGACCGAATACGCGGGTGGAACAACGAGCGGTGCGGCGATAGAGAAGCGGACGGCTGTATTTGGCCGAGAGGCATACACTCGGGGGACAAGTCGCCGTGCGCGATTTCGCTTTCGACAAGAAGGTATATTACGCCTTGGGTACTACACGCTCTACGCCACGTAGACGACGTAGCTTCATACGCCTCCACGTCAACTTTCCAACGTGCTTATAATGTTATACGAGCCGGCGCCGTGTGCACGAGGACGCCTCCCGTTCGGCGCCACCAACTTCTCGCGCTTATTCCTTATTATCCGGAATTGCGACATTCCTAACGTTTTCCTCCTCTCCCCTTCCCCCCTCATGCGAGAAGTGTACCGCTCCTCATGAGCGCGCCTCTTCGCTCTTCGTTATCGGGGTCGCATTTTTTAGTATAATTTTCGTTCCGCACGTGTGTATATATATAATACATACATATAAATGTGTACCACGCCTAATGTAACGCGTCTCTCTAAGAACTAACTGACAATTGTAGTCACTCTTTAAAGTGCAATTGGTGTATTTTTCGTTGAAACGCTGCACTTGTCCGAGCCGTCAGTTGTAAGTACAGCATTGCAATCAGTAAAATCTCGCTGCGAGAATCGGTTACTAGCAGCTGTTCCTGTTATCGATACATTTTGCGAACACGTACAGCCGTTAATTCCATCGCCACGAAGGCAGAAAGTTAAATTTGGCGCAGCGTGTGACGAATTCTTGCGCCACGGATTTTGCAGTAAAGTCTTGCTTCCACCGATCAAAATCAGTAAGACATGGAACAGAATAGTAAAATGGGAGATTTTCCACTAAAAAAATCTCTAAGTAATCTCAGTGAAATACTTCTTCTGCTAATTTAACTAAAGACATTTTTACTGACGCACTTTAAGAAAATGCGAATCAAGGTATTTCGCAACGTTCCGCATTCCGGTTGATTCGCCTCGACAATTTTCCTTTTTCCTCTCTTTCTTAAATTCCTTTCTTTCTTTTCTCATTTTAAAAAAATTTTTTTTCTCTCATGCTAGTCGCCTGTCCCACTCATCACGCTCTAATCGCGCAACCCGACGACGTAGGTTAAGGTCGCCACGCGGACGACACGGTGACGGCGGCGCCGATCGATACCACTACCGGTCGACTAGTCGTCGATAGTCTTTGAAATTAATGTATTCCAGTGGCTGTCGCGCGGAACGTTTAACGGTTTTTCACATGGAATGTGCGTGAGCGCGCTTTGCCGATGGTGTGCGAGTTGGGCCCGAGCCAGGCTTCCTCCAGGAGGACGAGCCGCGCCTTGTCTCGCCTCGCCTCGCCTCGCCTCGCCTCGCCTCACCCTGTTCCCGCTCCACGCCGCACAGTGTGACCCCGAAGACTTCTTGCCTAGAGAAAAAAAGGAAAAGAACGAAAGATGGAAAAAGGGAGGAGACACACATGACACAAAGTATTTCATTGCCGCCGATCCATTCGCGCGCGCGCGATTCGACGAGAGGAGCTCGGATGCGCGCGGGCCAGACTTTCTCCGCGCTTCAAGCCCGAAAATGGTCAAACGAATCTCTGCATCTCTCCGTGGTCCCGCTCGCGCGCGTTCCCACGTGCCTTATCGAAGAATTTGACTATACCCAACGGTACCTCCTGACATGCGCGCTAATTATGACAGTGCCGGCCATCGAACACGCCGGCGAATATTCCGGAAATGGAAAATGACCGTCGAGATCGGAGAGAGACGTTTAATTGAACGATTCGCGCAGCACGAAGACGCGTCTCTCTCACAGGTGTTTGAAACGTCTCGCGGACACGTTCGCGTTATGGCGAATTCCTCGGCGAGGGGAATCAAGGATCTCGAATTAATGATTACAAGACTCTTGGATTAAAATAAAGAAATGTAACAACCCAGATAGCACAGCGAATTCAAAAAGAATTCAGTGTGTCACCAATTCTGAGTTTACTTTTGGATACAAAAAGAATTCTTTTCACTGAACTGAGCTTTGAAGAATTCTTTTTGCATCTGAAAATGAACTCAGAATTGATGAAATACAACTGAATTCTTTTTGAATTCTTGTTTAATTATCTGTGCTATCTAGGAAGGAACCAAATTCACACAAGTTGAGTTTCAACCATTATTATGGACATCTTTAATGTGGAACTTGCAAAAAGCACAAAGACTAAAAATAAAATTATCCAGATAGACTTTCATAATTATCACGATGCGAGATAATTAATGATGGAGACTTCACTACTTTTCCAATTTATATCATATTTATCAAGCAAACATGTGGTATTTCATTAATTAATAATTATCAATTATAAGATTATCAATGTATGATTAATTCATATTATATATTGTGTGTGTATGGTGCAAATTTAATAAATTTATATTATTCAAGAACGTAAATTTTTCGTTATGCCGATGCATCAACAAACTAAAAATCACACTCAGATATTCATATTACATGACATGTCGTTTTAAACAAATTTTGATAAATTTTTTATTAAAGTAAACTATTTCTATCTCGTCACTCTTATGTGATAAATATAAGCGCCATGTAAACCTTTCATAAGAGATGCGGCCTTTAAAAATTAAGTGTATATCTCAAGAGCCTTTAATATGTATTTCTTTATAAATCGCGACTAAGTTGTTGCGAAATTTACACGCACCTGTCTACTTAAATATAAAGTATTAAGGATTAAGGGTATCTGGAATTTTATAACAAGACATACAGAGGAGGCATCTCGCAGGGGGCGTCGTAATGCAACGGAGGAAGAAGACAATGACGCGCGCAGCGCACTTCTTTCACATTTTCGCAGGTGCCTCCGCTGCTGCTCTCGTGCTCTCTCGAAATTAGCATTATTCGCGAACTCTCGCGAGTAGGTACATAATATACGTCCCGGGTCCCGGGGAACTTTCACTTTGTTCCCGCGATGTTTTTTTCTTTTTATTCTCTCGTCGGCATATCGCGACGCCCGAGAAACGCTTGTTCCCTCCGCGCCTCGGCTACATGGCAGACACGTTGGCGTCCCATGATCTCTCGCTTGCAACGGGCGTGCTAATCCGAAAGTTTCGCCGTCCGGCCTCCGGCTGGCAGGCGGCGGAATCGGGCTCGTATATGTGTACCGTCGCGAACTAAAACGCTAATCCGGATGGTATAGGCCGCGCCGGGTGGCAGCCATGCGCGCTCTTGGTGATGGAACACTTTCCTCTCGTCGACGCCGGCGAGAGTGAACTCGCCCGAGGATCGAGGTCAGGTCAAGGCCCCCACGAAGTGAAGCCTTCGTACCTGGGAGTTCTCGCTCTCCTGCTTGTTCTGCTTCTGCCCCGTGCCGTTTCTCATCTCGTCCTACTGCGTCTGCTTCGTTCGTCCGTCCGTCCGTCCGTTGATTGCTCTGTCGTTGCATTTGCGAGGCGTCTTAAAACCAACATGTACACATAAACAAATATCATCTCCACAGAATGAAGTTGGCAGCTCGAGACAGAGCCAGGAAGCTGTTTGAGGCTATAATCCTCTCTCGTTTTAGCTGTCATAAATATTTATATTTGTGTTGTATGTGTATATGTAGCACAGCTTTACAATAAATGTAGACTCTTGACAACCGCTCTAAGCTAGAATGAGAAAGGGTTAGCCTCAAAACAGCTTCCTCACTCTGCTTCAAATTATTAATGCCAACTTATCCCCTGCTGTAGTAGAGGTATGTGAATATCTGGTTTATGTGTACATGTCGTTGCCTAAAGCTCGATCTACAATCTTTGTAGATCTATTCTCTGCTTCCTGTTTCTTTCTCTTTATCTCTTTCTGTGACCTCAAGCCTTAAGCCAGAAAAAGACAGGGAACAAGAAACAGAGAGCAAAGAGCTCATTGTAGATTAAGAGGCATAAAGTTCGAAGGGAAAAACATTTCAGCCACTGACGAAGAGACACGCATGTTCCATGCATGTTCCGAAATCAGCGACCTTCTTTCTTTCAGCTGCAAAGCGCGAGGAACAAGCGGAACGCGCCTGCAGTCGTGTGCGCATTCGTACATGCGTTATTATGCACCCATCGTTATGTGCATCGTTATGCGGGTTGGTAAAACCGCGGTATCGCGGTCCTGCTTTCCTCCGGGCTGTCATGAGCGTAAAGTAGGATGTCGAAGGCGAGAAAGATGGAGAAAGAGAGAGAGAGAGAGAGAGAGAGAGAAAAAGGCTCGCACCTTGCGTGGAGGCACGCGTGAATGGACGAAACGAAAGTTCTCTCGCCTTTCTTTCTCGCCTGTTTCTCCGCGTTCGCGCTCGCACGTGATTCCGCGGGATTCTCCTCTTATTGCTTAGCGATTAGTCACCCCTCCCTCCCCCTGGCCGTGCCTGACCGCCACTCGAAGGAGTTCACTCGAAAGAGAGATGAGGCGCACCGTTAGGAAACAGCGGCAAGACGGAACACGGAGAACGGGTCTGCACGGATGAATGAACAGTGGCGATCGTCGCGTGGGGTGGCACACCTGCGGCCGCACGGCATCACGAACAATGGGGGACGAGCCTCTCCAGCGGGTTAATAAGCACCTCGTAATAGCAACGATATCGCGGATATACGGGCGCATCCTCCTATGTTCCGGATCGTTCACGCGTCACTGAGGAAAGTAGCGGCATTAGTACTTTCACGCGAATAAATTTGCGCTCGACGTAAACTCGGCGCTAATTCCGGCATGTTGGCCTACTTATGTTTAAGATTGTCTTGGACCCATCTTCAGACGCTGTGCGGATTATTTCATCGGCTATGGAGCGTCTGAACAAGATAATACTAATAACAGATTAATAACAGCGATGGGTGAACGTAAGACGGTCTTAAGTATAAGATAGGATGTATTATTTGAGAATACACACAGAAAAATATATACTGCATTCGAGCAAATATTACTTGCTTCAAGTGCTTCTTAAGTTTATATATCCGCAAGCCTATCATAAGCAAATGAAATTTATTCAAAATACATTCTAAATGCTAATAAGTCTAGTATTTCAATCGAGAATATAAAATTGAAAAAAAAATTTGTTTGCTTGCTCCATAGAGTCGAGCTAGTGTTCCTTTTTATTAAAGTCTCATAATATTTTTGTAGAGAGAATAAATTCTTCTTTTGACAGTGCATGATATATTGAGAAAAAAAATACTTCGAAATTTATTTTGCTGGGATATTTCTTTATATTAGGGAAATTCATTTGTAGGATAAAGTTTTACAGGGAAACCATTTTTTTCAAAATTCACAGAAACTTTGCCTTTGTAAATAAATTTTCAACTATTTTTTTCTCAGTGTAATGAGCTTTTCTGGGATCTTTAATGTGTATATTTGAATAATATTATCAAGAAGATATTCTTTGCTGAAGATAACCGTTATTTAAAAGAAAGAAAATAAATTGATCCCTCGCTTTTCTAAACAGTAGAACGATATTTTCCCGTGTGTGCCCTCGACCTTCCGTCGTTCTGTCGTTTCGCGAAATTTCACGATCGGCGTGTGGCTCCTCAGTCGGAGGCACCGTCGCCGTGGTCGTCGTATCTAACGGCGATCGTGGCGGTATTTAAGGAAGACGAGAAAGGCGGGCGAAGAATTCGGGAAGTCGGTCCATCGAGGCGACTTTCGGAACTTGCACGTAGAAGGGCCCCGGCGGCGTGTCAGGAACGGGACCACCTGGTCAGAAGTGCGTTCTCGGGGATCGGCGAATCTCCGTGTGGCCATAGACGAGGATGGAGAGAGCCGACGGCGCGGGCCAGCGCGGAGAGAGCGACGGAGAGAGAAGACGAAGACACGGACACTACATACTCCGGGGTACCAGAGCGGGCGAAGGGGGCGGACGAAGGGGGACCGGGCATCGACTTTTTCTCTGGCACGGTAGAGAGTGTTAGGCGCACCTTGAAAAGACTCAGCGCGGATGCTGACTGGCCTGATCGGTCTGCTCGGCCTGGTTTACTTCCCGAGCGTATGTCCACCGACTGGTCCTGCGTACACACGGCTCTCTCGAGCATCTTTACACGCTCGGCTACGCACACGACCATCGGCGGACCACGAAGACCGAGACCAAGACGGCGACGACGATGACGACGACGACGACGACGGATGGAGTGAGCGATCGAGCAAGTGCGTAAGGTGGCCGCGCGGACACGTCAGGTTTCGTTGGCGCGTCTCTCGTATGTAGGTGAACGGCCGCCTCCTCTTTCTCTCGCCGTCTCTTCTCGGTGTACCCCGCACCGTCATCTCGTTGCCGCTTCACGCGTCACTCCGTATCCTGCTCCATTTTTCACGGAGAAATCACGGGGGGCAATCGAGACGTGTGTCGTCCACGTCGATTGTCCACAGTCCAGGTGCTGAACGAGCATTTACGGCGTCTTAGACGCGACTTGGTCGTCTCGCGAGCAGAGACCTGTACCTCACGAGGGCCCCCCTTCTGTACCCCGCGGCCACCTACGATTCTCGGCCCGCCACGGTGTCTCTTGTGGAGCCTTACTTTCGATCGAGTCCCGAATCCGCCGGGCCCATCATCAGTCGGTCAGGCTCCAATTCTTTTGCATGCCTGCTGTCCTCTCTCTCCCTCCACCTGTCCCTCTCTCTCTCTCTTTTTCTCTCTCGTTCACTCGCTCGCTCGCTCACTTGCTACATCTCGTGTTACCCCCGCCTGCCGCCGCGTTTTCTCTCGCCCGGCCGATCTACGATTATAGCGTATCGACGCGATTTCCGTTAGTTTCACCCGAATTTTAAGCGTCTCTCCGCCAGGCGGAATTCCGAGGCGCACACGCTGCTGTATCGTACGAGATCGTAACTGCATTAGCTTGCTGCGAGGCGCGAAGGAGGTGTCTCCCATTCACGGGACGCAGAATGGGAGATCGAGTGGTGGGTCGGGAATAATGTGCGCGCACGCGCTAGTCGTACGATGTGTAACTCTGTCTTAATTTATTTACGTATTTATAAATTAAATATACATGTCGTGCGTGGCGGCGAGCGCGTCGCGGCTACGCGTGGAAACAATAAATAACGGGAGCGATCCGTGGACACGGGCGAGTCTCTCGTGCGTGCGATATGATCTGGACGTGGATTCAGCTGGAGAGAGAAAGAGAGAGACAGACACAGAGAGAGAGAGAGAGAGAGAAAGGGAGAGGAAGAGAAGGAGTGAGAGGAAAGAGTTAGGGAGAGAGAAGGAAATTATTCACGAGATGAGAATAAATAAGAGTTAGACGAGAGGAGAGAGCGAGAGAGCGCGAGAGGGTGAAAAGAGAACTCTCCGCGAGAAAGGGAAGAGCGATGAGACCAAGGTGATGCCACGATGACGTCCGCAAATTTTCGTTTTCCTAGGTTGACGGTGGTTTGTACGCGGAGTAGGCCAGCTCGTGTCCCGATCTCGCCCATCCGCTCGAGCCGTGTCCTCCTCCGACTTGGACGACCTCGTGGCCGTGGTCGTGGCCGCCCGACACCAGCTTCTTCAGTCCGATGATGGAGGCAAGCACCAAAGCGAGCTTGCTCACTATCAGCGCTTTGCCGGCCAACAACGCAAGAGCGCCGAGCGCCAGCGGTACTAATGTACCGCCAATTAACAGAGGAATGGCCAAGAGGCCGCCCATCTTGTTCTTTTTCTTACGACCTGAAAAGAATAACGCGATTATGGACTTATCCAACCGGGAAAACGTTCGAGGAGAGAGATAAAACGACCGATTTAATGATTATAAGGCTCCTGAATTAAGCTCCAAATTACACGAACTAACAAGAGCAAAGATCTAGTTTGCATGTATTTACAATAAATTATACAAGCAGGTACTAATTAATTAACCTCAAGCAACTTCTGCGATTATAATCTCGACTGGAGATGACCACAATAAATGACCGAGACGTTCATTTGAAATTAACTGACCTACTCGTAGAATTCATCGTAAATATACGCAAATTAGATCAGCAATTTGGCTTTCGCCATTCGTTGGTTTGTAGAATTTTGAAACAATTTGAGACGAGTCCCCAGCTTGTGAGGGACAGTTTTAATGTTTCAACCGATATTCAACAGCCGATATCGAGCATTTATTCAAGCGTTTCGCCCGTTATCAAGCAATATCTCCGTTACGACCGTCTTTCTTTCTTCCTATCGCGTTCAGGTTCTCTTACCTTCTTCCGTGAAACTGCGTTGAAGCTCCTCGACGTTCGGCAACTTCAGCTTCAGCGTATGGCTCTGGAAGAACTTGACGATCCTGTCGAAGATCATACCGTTGAGAGCGTCTTCCTTGTCGTCTAACGCGCGTGGCAAACCGGCTTCGATTTCCTGCGGAGTCTTCTCCAGCTCAGACTCGTTAGTGGCCGGCTCGTCTTGCACCAGAGTGACACCTTCGGCCAGATTCAACTGCGTGCTGCGGGAGATCCTGTCCATGGCCGAGACGAGCTTCAGCTTCAGACAAGGGCTTAGTTCCGCGCCGGAGCACTCCTTGTACACCTGATAGACGTAGCGCAGGTCGCCAAACACACCGTTGTTGCTCGACCTCGCGGTTTGTTGTTGCTGCTCGTCGATGGAGTTGGACGCGGGGTTCGTCTCGGCGGATCTCGCCGCGGCTGTTGCCAACAGCAGGGCCAGACACACACAGTGGCGCGCAAACTGCCTCATTTTTTGTGCTTGGGAGGTGGGTCACCTGTGAAAGAAAGAGAGATATTACTCGTGGGTGAAGCTTAGAAAAAGAAAAAATTGGATTTGCGAGGCACAGTAAAAATGACAGGTGTGTATGTTTTGGCAATTTCTTATTAAAAGTTACTCAAATCTGTAACGATGTATTTTATCTTTCCAATATGAAAACTGAATAAAAGCAAGAAAGGAGTAATCAACGTTTCTGTCCTTCATATTACGCATTTTTTCAAAACTCTGTCATTTTAACCGTTCTGGTAGAAGGTCGTTGATCGTCGGTAGTTCTAGTATCAAGCTATAATAATACTCGATCACTGAGAAGAGGGAAGGGATACAATGGCCAATGAGAGCCATGCGGGCTGATGGTCGCGATCAATGATTCCTTGCGGCCGGAAAATACGAAAGAAATGTCGCACTTCTAACGAACTGCCACGAGTTACGCGACGTAACGCGACCTCGCGAGGCGCAATCTCCAGAATCTCCACGGAAATCCCCCCGAGGGTCGTCCGCGACACTTGGACGTCGTCTCTTCGAGTCGAACAGAATACGCGATATGAAAACGCGTTCTGCGGCGCGTCACCGCAGCGAGCGAGCGATCGGTCAGTGCGAGCTCTTCTTCACTCGAGACGAAAACGCGAGATCCGGTCGCGACACGAAGCACTGTATACCTTCCGTGCAATTTCGATACGCGGACGCCTCTCTCAGGGGGCTTCGCTTCTCTCTCGAATACTGTGTCTCTCCAGCAGGTGAGACGCGCGCTCTCAAACGTACGCGGCCCGGTGTGACTAGCGCGCGACTGTGCGACTCCCAGATTTAGATTTCGACACGGTGCGTAACGCGCGAGATACGCGTGTATATACCTGAGAACACTCTAAGTAGACTGTACGTAACGGAAGCCCTGCCCTAGCTCTATATATCTGGCCAGGTATACCTCCGTACCGGGCGATATTCCCCCTCCCGCTCGCGGATGACGACGTTGTACACCACCATTGCGCGACCATTTTCATAGCCGAGCATGATTTGAGAGCAGTTGGGCTTGTGCCTACTAGACAACCACCCGGGGAAGACGAGAGTAGAGAGCAGAATTCCTGCGGAACGCTCGATGATCACGGCTCTCCCCTCGCGGATTCATGCCTCCCACCTCCGGGTCGCGCGAGCTGGACGCGAGCGATTCCGCGCCGCCGCCACCGTCGCCGTCGCGCGGTTTAGCCGCCGCTCTTTCACACGACCGGGCCTTCCTCCACGTCATAGTAGTCGCGCGGTGTAGTCGTGCCTGCTGCTCTCTCGTCTCGTGCTCTCCTCATTGTCCCGGCCTGTCAAATTCGATCTAACCGCATTTCGGTCCGTGCCGTGCCGTTCCTTTTACGCGCGGGCGGCTTTCGCACCGCCTACGCGCCGATGGCCGACGCGCTTCGTCGCTCTGGCAACCGCTGCTCGCCGACCCGCTCGGCTCTAATCTCTCGGCGACCTGCTCTGCTTCGTCGGCACTCGAAATAAGATTGAAAATGAAAGGGGTGCGATAATCCGTCAACGCGCGACAGACGGCCGCACCCTGACATGTCACGTGTCACGAGAGGCGTAGAAAGCGTCTCACAGCGTTCACCTAGCCGCCGATATATTTGATAACAGGAAGCGCAATAAAATGTTAAGTGTGTTATTGGCACGATCGAGTGTGCCCACGGACTATCCTCGTCGCGTTTACGATACCATAAAGTAGTTGGTTCGTTAAATTGAATTACTGAACGGCGAGCTGATTTTTAGCGTTCTCTTCGCAAGTGTAATGCCTCCGTCATTTCTCGCATCACGATGCAGGAACTTCATCGTGTCTCACATAAGTTGATGGAAATTTCATAATAAAATGCTAATTTTTTAAGATAATATGCTAAATTGTATCAAGTTGGTGCAAAAGAGTATTTGCTAAGTATAAAATAGAAAAATAGAAGATGAAGTTATTCAATTTCAAGCGCCTCATAATTTTCACGAATAACACAAACGAATATTGATTTAATACCCAAATTTCCCTGATAGACAGACGTGTATGTAAATATGGCAGCAGCTTTATTTATTGATTTGCAAAGATTATATGTCACTGATAAATGGTTCATATGATACTCATATTTATCAAATAGAATGCCAAAGTAGAATTACAAAAAGAATGTGAAAGAATTTATTATAAGTTGCTCCAAACAATGTCACGAGAAATGTAACGTGAAAATCTGAGTGCAATTTTTAACAAATCTGTTACTGCATCAAAATAATGAAAAAAATTACATCGTTGTAGAGTGCGGCCAAGATGCTCCTTAATCTCTTCCTATTCGATTTCCTAATTAATTTTGTTGTAAAAGGAAAGATAATCGAGTAGATTACAAAGATATAAGTTTCAAATATAGATTACAAACATATAAATTGTACGCTTTAACTGTTTCCAAGAAAATAGGCTCCAAAAGTTTCAACAGCCTGACAAATGACGCCATATAAAAATTAAAGAATGCAATTTATTAAATAAAATATCTTTATACATAAAGTATTATTTTTGCATCAAGAGTCAAGTTTGCATCACTCAAGTTCTGATTGGGAATGACTTGAATCTTTTAGAGCCTTTTCTTTTCTTGAAAACAGTACAAAAGGATACACTTTGAAGCTCATATATTTGTAATCTACTCGTAAGTTTATTTTTGGTTTTATAATAAAACTCGAATACGAAAAAATTCAGGTGTTGAACTTATGGCTATTTGGCCGCACTCTTTAAGATTAATTCATTACAACATATTTGCTTCATAAATACACGAGAGAAAAGATTTCACTGCCGCAGCTATAATCATGGTTTGCTGGAAATATATTTGTTGCTGTAACTAAAAAAAAGTTGTTGCTAAAACTTTTGCTACTGTTGCCACTACTTTGGCTTTACAGCTAAATGTATGTTTACTGGTATATAGGCCTAGCTGTATTTTTAGGTATTCATACAACAACATTACATATTTAGCTACCACACACAGACTCTTGCTGCACCCGCTAACTCCTTTCTTTTTGCGTGTAAAAAGAAAAGATTGTAAACTTTCCGTCATCGTGATAATCATGAAAGTCTGAGGTCCTACCAAAATTTCGTAGAAAAATGACAACCCAGACAACATAATGTCTAAATTCGGGACATAAGGCGTCTTAAAGATTATCTTTAAGACGTCTCATGTCCCGATTTTAGACACTATGTTGTCTGAGAAGTCTTTTGCGCCAACCTGATTCACGGTATTTTAGAGTACACGACACTTAGAATATGCATGGATCTCTCTGGACGCGCTGCTTGGAAGTGTCGCAAGGAGAAGCGCTTGTCCGAGCGTCAGCGGGAACAGCCGCCACGATCCGGAACAGGGGGGAACCCTTAGCGGGGCTGCGGCGTATGCTGCACGATCGGATAAGACTGCGCTTCTCATTACCTCCCCCGAGCTGCGTGCGTACAGTTATGCCGCTGACACTGAAATCCGCGGGACTCAGGCCGCGCGACGCTAGCCTCAGCTATTAAATCAATGTGACAATGTACGTTCCACTTCTCAATGGCGGATCGAACAAATGTCTGTAGCCCGGCTGGCTGGCTGGCTGGCTGCCTTTACGCGCCAACGTAATCGTGCCATCGAAAAAGAGAAACGATGAATCGGCGAATTAACATGTACCGTTACGCGTTAGGCACCATTTCTTCCCGTCCGCCGATTAATCATCTAATTCACGTGACGCTCTCCCGTCGGGGAGAACTGCGTGCTGGCGCGCACAGTTGTCCCTCGGCCTGCGCATCCTTGACTCCTCATGCCCTGCCTGGCCGATTCGCGAGATTCGCGAGACGTGGCGTCGCGAAACTAGGTCGCGCCAAGTGAAAACGCATCGCATGCAGATAGTGACGGCGCTTAGGCCGTTTTTCCCGGACGGAAGGAACAAACGGATGTTCGCGCGCGACGCGTGAAACAGAAGTATCCTTCCGACCGATTCGTTCTCGCGAACGCACGGCGAGAGGAGAGGCAAACCAAAAGGAAAAAAGGGAAGAAAAATGTCGGCTCGATCGCGTGTCCCTTCGCCTTCGTTGACACCGCGCTTTGCGGCTACCGGACGCGCGCGACCGACGATTTCATTAAGCCGCACGCGAGCGCGCAAGAAAGCCTCACGACCGGCTAACGGAGACGCAGAAGAGAGGGAAGAGACGCGCTTCTCTTCTGGGTCCTCTCGTCGCGGCTCGCCGGTTCCCCGCCTATCGTCGCCGCGCGAACGGCTACGCGACATGCGCTGCCGGAACTTACCTGCATAAAGTCGCGTTACCGATTTCTCGTGTATACGTGCCGTGAAAATGATCCCCCTTCCCCTCCCTCCTCCTCTGCGCCTCTTCTCGTCTCGACGGCGAGGCACGGCACGGCACGGCGAAAGCGACGGATCTCACAGCGCGAGACACCGTCGTCTTCTCCGTCGCCGTTATCGTCGTCTCGTCTCGTCGTCTCGTCTCATGACGAAGCGCGAGCTAATAATCGCGTACCGGCTCCGGCCGGGACGTCCGGTGTTTCCGGTTCGCGGGGCCGCGCGATCCTCAATTCCATTTGGTAGCGACCGTTTGGCCGTACGGTGGTTTCCTCCGCTTCCCCGATACGCGTGGCTTCTCGCGCGGCCAATGAAACTGTCGTTACTCGTGCCCCCTCGTTCTTCCCCTGCGGCGGGGCGAGAGGAGAAGGTGAGCTGAGAGGCGGAAGGAGCGACGTCGGCCGCGGTATGCAGGTTAACCCAGTCGCGCATACCTCGCCGGCTGCCGCTCGCGTTGCTCGCAGGACGATCGGCCAGGACGCGAGAGGCATCGTCGCCGCGAGCGCCCTCGCCGTCGATCGCGTCGCCCTCCATACGTGTCGCGGAACCGCGTGTCTACGGAGGACCCGGGGGGAGACTTCTTACGCCGGATTTACGAGCGCTTGATAATTGCACCGTGCCCGTGCACGCGGCCGTGAGGCCAATAGTAAGCCGGGTTAGTGGCCACTTACGGTATGGAAATGGATATACTCGATATTAACGCGGCTCTCGCGATACTCGCGGCCTGGAACTTAACGGTATCCCTCTGCCTCTCTCTCTCTCTCTCTCTCTCTCTGTTTTTCTCTCGCCGCGCTGTTTCGTGCGAATTCATCTCGCTTCTTCTTCTTCTTCTTTTTCTTGTCTCGTTCCTTTTACGCGACATTAATTCACCTGCTCGAGGCAATTTTCTCGCGTCTGGGGTCTCGCGGGGATCAACTCACCTACCTACCATCGCGCTTACCCGACAATCGGCAACCGCGGCTGATGCCGAATGATAATCTCTGGCGATCTCAAGACGACTGGGTCGCTACACGGGATCCTCCGAATGTGCCCGATAATAAGGACGATAAAGCGACGCAACGGAGCGAGAAGAGCGTAGCGAGAGGAGCGGAGCGTGAAGAGCGGAGCGGTAATTTCAACGCTTGTGCAGGAAGTGTTGCCGCCGATCGCCCGCGTATACCTTACGCGGTCGCAATCCGCGCACACCTCGACTACTTTCGCCCGCGCCCGTGAACTTCGGCCTATCCTCCATTCGCTCATGTGGTATGTGGTACAGCGGCGCATCCGGTCGGGCGCGATCGGGCCGTTTGCTGCTCGACGGGCCGTATTTCATGGCCGCGCGTTACGCCCCGTGACCACGAGTGCAAGTGTATCGTATAAATAGAAGCGCTCGGTCACGGCGGATTCTCGCCCTCTCTCTCTCCCCTCTTTCCCGATCTCTATCAACGCAGGTTGACGCTGCAGCGTCTTTCTTTCTCTGTTCCTTTCCTTCTTTCTGGGACAATACGGAGGTGCATCTCTCTCTTTCTCTCTCTGTTTTTTGTCGTTCTTTTATTATAAAAAAAAAAAATAAAAAAGACAAAAGAAGAACACACAGCAGGTGTCATGTAGTGGAAGCACACAGTCAAACGGTCAAATAAATATTAATAGTAATAAGATATACAACGAGATAATAAATAACGAGCTCGCGTAAATCTACACACATATATAAAACAATGAGCATTTCCCAGAGGTACTGGTGACTGGCCGTAGGATGAGCCGACCGTTGCGCAGGATAGAGCAAGTAGGGGAAGAGGAAGTGAGAGAGACAGAGGAATGAAGAGGGACGTAAAGGGAAATGACAATAAGCGCTGAAAGAAGAGGGACACGCGGAGGTTTCGCGCGCCACGATTTCGGAGAGTCACGTGTCGTCGGGGAACTGTCGAGGACGAGAACAGGGAGTCTAGTGGTAGCAGTAGCGGTAGCAGTAGCAGTAGCAGTAACAGTAGCAGTATAGTCGTAATAGTTGTAGATGGAAGAGATATTGCACATTGCTGCGACACAGGTGGAGGAGGACAGAAGACAGCGGGAAGGATCAGGATAACGAGGAGACGTGGAAGCAGATGCGAGCGAGATAGGACGAAGGAGATGAAGAAGAAAGAGAAAAGATAACGAGGGGTTGCAGGATAAAGACGCAGGAGGAAGCGACGGGCATGACGCGAGGCGAGAGGTTCCGCGGTGGTGGCGATTAGGCCTGCGTCTGCGGCTGATGGGCGCGGTAGGCGATCTCGTGGGCGTCCTGAGGCAGACTCCTGGCCCAGCCGTGTCCGCTGCCGCCGGAGTAGCCGCCGTAGTCGCCGCCGCCGCCGCCGCCACCACCGCCGCCGAAGCCGCCGTGGCCGTCGTCGTGGCTGACGACGTGGCTGCTGCTGTGATGCGGGTGCGACACCACTTCGTAGGTCACGTGCTTCTGGTGCGAGCCGAGCAGCTTCTTCAGCCCGATGATGGCCGAGATCACGAGGGCGATCTTGCCCACGAGCAACGCCTTGCCGGCTATCATCGCGATCGCGCCCAGCGCGAGCGGCAGCAGCGCGGCCGCCTTCAGGGCCATTGCCATCATCAACGGTCCCAGGATCTTTTGCGCCTTCTCTGTAACGTTTCAAATGACCGCGCGTTTTAGCGTGATGTATCGGTGTGGGCCGATTCTATGTGACGAGCGTCCATCATTTTTTCAACAAGATATTTATATTTGGTAGGTACATAACTCTGAGAAAAAAGATTTGAATTTGTTTGCGGGACATAAGGTTTTTATATATTCCTCCGTGAACAAACCTTATATTCCCTGCAAATCAATTTCCAAATATTTTCTCTCGATACACTAATGAAAGATATTTATGCTTGTACTAAAAGATATTTTCACACGAAGAAAAGATGTCTTTGAATGAGAGAATGTACATTTTGAAAAGCGTACACTGCTGAAAATTTCGTGCTGAATTTAACGCATATTTTCATATGTCCTGATTTATCCACTTTAATTTCTGTGTTAATTTAACACAAAACAAAAACGTAGTAGCACGAATAACACAACTTATCTGCACACTTTAATAAAATATGTCACCAAGAATTCACACATTTACACATAGGTTGTATTTTAACACTTGAAAATGATGAATATATGAACTCAATGCTGTGAACAGTCGAGATAACACAACGACAATATGTTCAAGTAATTCACGGATATGTTACAAAATTAACACGAAAGTTTCTGCGTGAGTCAATGTCAACGCAAAATGTACGTGTAGTTTCTTGTGAGAGCAATTATTTATTCTGTTTAAATGAAAGAATTTAAATTCAAGTAGAAATATTTCATTAGTACTCTCCGAATAAATATTTTTATTCTTTAGATGACTTTTCTCCCAGTATAGATATATTTCCTTCTCTTTTTTCTTCTATAAAGTTATATCATTTAATTAAATCTATTCTTCTTTAAAGCACATTCTGATAATTACTTCAAATCATCCCACATTTTAGCGTCTCATCAATATGGGACGATTTTAGGCGATAGATGCTTGTTTCTTCAAGCATCGGCATTTATCAGCAATATTTTTTTCTAAGACGTTTTGGGTTATTATTTTTTTCCAAGTCTATTCAGGTCCGCGTCAGAGGATTTGTCTGGATTTCGAACGATCGCTCGTTTGAGCAACACATCGACACGGGGCGGCTCCTTTCTTCAGGCACGTCACGGGCTTTGCTTTCATTTTTTTTCTTTAAGGTCTTGGGATAATTATTATGTCAGAACTTGTCGACTTGCATGGAAACGTGGGTTCCGTTCCGCTTGTACTTTGAAGAACACTGTTGTTACTCTCTTTTCGCGCTTCTGGGGAGAACGGGAGTCCGAGAGCACTCCGTGAGATGCAGTATAATAGGCAGTAGACTGAATACACGTTTTCACTCCTTCATGCCAATTACCTTATTACGAGGCGTGTCATTAAAGATATACCCGTTTTCGCGGGGCGCGAGCGGAGAATAACAAATGGCGTGTCGGTGACTAGTTTGTGCCAGAAATGTATACCTGCTCCGCGCGCTTATTCATACGCCTCTCCCCTCGTGCATTTACATAACTCGATAAAGGTATCAATCTCGTATCGCACGCGTATAATCAAAATGAGAAACCGTTACGGCACGACTCTCTCGATTGAGAAGTCGGGATAACGCTACTTGTTGTGCGGTGCCAACGAATTATGAATGACTCGTGCGACACTGCGACGTGACCAATGCTTCAGCAGGAGGCGGAACAACCCGCGAAATATTTCGCGACTGAGACGTTGTGACACGCGGCGACGGAGTCGCCTGCGCGCTCGTGCAATTTTGAACGAATTTTAAAAAAGAAGAGAGGAAAGCTGATCATCATTACCCGTCCTCGCACGTTGATATCAATCATCGGGCAACGTGCAATTTGCGAGCGGACGAGCGCGAACGCCGAGACACGTACACGCGTACACACCGAATGATCGATTGCGCATCATCGTGGGCGTAATGAAGGTCCTCCGTAAATCATCGCGCGCGCAACGCATCGCGAGACGCGAAGTACCAACATTTAGTATACCAAGTGGAATAGTCGAAGATCAAGGCGAAGTACCAGCAGCATGGAAAGTATGTCAAAAATCTTGCGCGGCGCGGAATCCCGCGTCTCTCCCCGTCTTCCTCCCTATCGCTATCTCTCTTTCTCCCCCTCTCCCTATCTCTCTGTGTTTCTCTCTCTCTCTCTCTTTTGCTATCTCTTTCTCTCTCGAGCTTTCGGTATATCGCCAGCGATCTCCTCCTGATCCTCCTCTGCCGAGGAGGAGGTTCAAGGGGAAGCGGAACCAGTTCCTCAGTGGGTCAACGTCTGCGGCCGGTATCGGCTTCCTCCTCGTCGTCGTCGTCGTCGTCGTCGTCATCATCGCTGTTCACACGCCGAGAACTCCCGTACCGCAGCTGACGTTGGCCCTGATGAACCGTGATTATCTCGTCGCGGCATGCGAAAAGTCCGTTTCTCTTTTCTTTTCCTATATCACACGTCCGCATGACTCACATGAATTTTTCCACCCAGAGGTCAAGAGCGCGTTTCAATGGACTTACAATGGTAAAAGAAAAGAACCAGTGCTATCGTTACGTATATAAGTCGTGTGCAACACAAACATGATAACACGGGTAAAATATGATGATGCGGGCAACGTGAGGTCGGCGCAAAAGGTCTGTTTGTCAAATGAAATAGAAAATTACACAATTTTGAAGGAATTCGTAATCTTGAACTTGATATTTTGAACTTCAAATCGATTGATAAAATAAGTAATATCTATATCTTCTTTTAACATTTAACAAGGACTTTCCATTTTCTTGTTGTTGTTATAACTATAGCCGTGAAACTATGTCCATTGACCATCCATTTTCTTGTGAATATTCAAACTTTCTATGAGAATTTAATAGAAAGACAACGAATATTTTGTATCGATCTAACATGTTACAATCTCATATGTAATCAATTGTAAAGTATATCTCATAATCATAACTTTACAGTATACATTGTATTTGGTTTGCCAATTTTAACGCGATATTATTAAATAGCGTTCATTTGCAGATTAACAAGTCATGCGGAAACGTGATGGAAAAATCTGAGAGAATATATCGCGCAAATATTTATGAATACAATAAACAATCTCTATTTTTTTTCAACATTTCACACACAACGAGCACTTCCTATTTTCTTTTTAATATACAATTTTCTACAAGAATTTAACATTAATATTTAATAACATTATTTTAACCAGTGTTTATTCGTATATCAATAAACCATGCGGATACGTAATGAAAAATTTTGAAAGGAATATATTGTTTACATAATTTTTACGAATAAAATGAGCAATGGGGATTTTCTATTTTTTTTTTTTATATTGAAACTCTTACCAAAATTTAATAGAAAGATTATGAATGTTTCGTATCAAGCCAACATTGCAGTTTGATGCAATCAAATGTACAGTATATCTCATAGCCATAATAAGTTCTCATTGAACTATAAAATTATGGTTATAAATACTCATTGTACTTCGTCAATTTTATCGCCATATTATTAAGTAGTATTTATTTGCAAATTCATAAGCCATGCGAAAACGTGACAGAAAAATCTGAGAGAAATGCTTCGTAGAGAGTTGATGCAACTTTTACGAATATAATGAACAAAAATCAAAACATCTGTTTTGTATGTTTTGTCAATGGTAAACTTTGACAGGAATATATCGCGTGTTTACGTAATTTTTACGAATAGAATGAATAACATTAACCTTGTATTTTTGTTTAAATATCTCTACTGTTTTTTAAACAGTTCTCAAGGAGAACTTTCCATTTTCAAACTCCCTACGAAAATTTAATAATCAATAAGCTATGCGGAGACGTAACGGAAAAGTCTGCGAGAAACATATCGCGGGTTTATGTAAATCACGTTCGGTTGGCGTAATAGCCCGGCAAGCTTGACGAAGGATTACTCGATTATTGCGCTAGTTTCGCTTTCGTGGCGAATTCGTCTATTTGGCGAGCGCTAGCGGCCGTGAGGGAGTTCCCGTGGGGGGGAATAACGAACGCGATAAAACGTAATTGGATGTCTGGCGGTACTTCGCAACCGGTTCCGTGTTATAATTAAGCACATCCGAAGCTTGAGCCGCCTCCGTCCGCGCGTCTAGAGACCGGAATTCGTAATATACTCACTTTTCTTGCCGCGACTCTCCACGGCGTTGTCGCTGAAGTCCTCGAAGCTGCGCCCAGCGGACTCGATTGCCCCCAGAATGTCGCTGCCCTTCAAGTCAACCTTAACCGAGTGCGTCCTCAGGAACCTGCCGAGGCGGTCGAACAGAAGCGTATCTAGGTCGCTGGATTCGATAGATCTGCCAAAAGACATGAATAATCAGTGCAACGCACTCCTGCGCGGCCGCGAAGTGGATCGCGCGAACTCGAGCTTCCCGTCGAACCTCGACTGCTGGCCGATTCTGTCAACCGAGCTGTCCACGACCGCGATTCGTTCGACTCGAGTCGAGCGTTTGCTTCCCTCCCGAAGCCGAAGTTCGACGTGAGTTCCCGCAGGCTCTCGCGGTCTCACGGGGCTCGCACAAGGTGTCCCGAACAACAACCGACCTGGGCGCACCCTCCTCGGCGTTGGACGTCTTGACGACGGTGATGCCCTCGGACAGCGTGATGTCCTCCTTGTCCGCCAACATCTTGTCCACGTAGGTGAATACTTTGTACTTGATGCAGCTGATGGACTCCTTCTTCAGACAGTCGGCGTATATGGTCGCCATAAGGTCGTTCTCACTTCCGCTCTTGTCGTTGGTCGGCAACGCCAGGCTCACGGCGGCTAACGCCGCCGCCGTCGACACCCACAGTAACGTCGCGAGATGCATGGCCGTACGTGAAACTCCGCCGCGCTCTGATCGTGTGTGAACGACGAGACAGTCCTCGTATATCCTGCTGCTGCTGCTGCCGCGCGAGCCGCGTGCGCTTGATCGTTCTCCTCGAACTCCTCTCTCGCTCTCGGTGCCCTCGGTGCGGCAGACGCGCCAACGGTACGATCCAAGGTCTACGTACGCCGGGATTCGCCGATGCTGCCTCGTGTGTTACATCTAAAAGAGGTTGCTTTGCTTTTATACCGAAGTATCGCACGAGGGGAGCCCCCATGGACTCTCGGTGCCACCGAGGGTCCGCGTCGCACGCTCTCTCGTATCCCTCCTTTCGCTGCTCCTCTCTCGTTACCCCCCACCCCTTTCTCTCTCTTGCTCCGTCGAGTGTATCGGGTACCGGCAGGATACCTCCCCACTGGTTGCTTTCTTCCTCCCCTTTCAGCAGCCTCCACTGCCTGCTCTCGCTTCTTCTCGCTTCCTGTCTCTCTCCCCCCTCCCTCTCCCTCTCTCGCTCATCAGCCCGATATCATTTCGGCAAGGTAAAAATCGCATCGGCTGTGCGCGGAAAAACAGGAGGAACGCCGATGGCCGGCCGAGGAGAGGTGGAGAGGGGCAGACTGAAGTGCGTACAGAAGGACGAGAGCCCGTATGAACACGTCCGCGAGATCCTCCAAGAGGATTTTCAAGAAAGATCGAGATAGAGATAGAGAGAATTAACATATACTCTCCAATTACGCACACTCCAGTTCGTTTGGCCCGCCGCACATACATACCTCTCTTCCTCCGCTTACTCTCTTCCTCAGCCCCGGCGTCCAGCTACGCGTATTCTCACGCTACGGACCTACTTCGAGTCGCATTAAGAACCGTCGATAGAAGGGGAGAGCCTCCCCGCCTGGGGACGCGACCGGGGCGATCGGAACCAGATTCGATGAGGGAAACCCACGGTCTCTCCGGGGGAAACTCATGGGCATCCAGGACGACGGAAAAAGTATACGTATGATTTGCCGCACCACTTCACCTGGCCACTCGACCGCCCGCCTATGATTATCGCGAGAGTGTTGCGGCGACTCAAATGACCATCGCGCGTGCACGGGGCAGGGGGGAGGAGCGACGTGAGCCCACAGCTTTGTGTGTGCGCGTGCCCTAATGACGTTGATTCGAGACGCCTAATCAAGGAATGCCGAAGTCGACCGCGAAGATTCCTCCACGACTGTTGCATTGTGTATACGCATGTGTGTGTGCGCGCGCGTGTGTGTGTGTGTGTGCGCGCGGTACTCGCGGTGTGCAATTCACCGAACACGAAATTCTAGGGCTCGCGCCGGTAGCCAGCGAGTCACCAGTCGCTCCGATACCTCTCTCCTCTTCGTTTATTCAAATAAGCGGCGGCAGAAGCGCGCCGACCGCTCCAGATACCGGGCTCAACGAGGTCGTGCAATTTTCGATAGGCGCCCGCGTTAACCGAAGAAGGATCCAGCGTCGGCGGATGCGATTACAAACTCCATTAGCGACGGCTCATGTGTGCGTGTACGTGTGTGTGTGTTTGCGCACGACGTGTGTACACGCGTGTGTGTTTGTGCTGCGCGTGACTCATGGTCTTACCAGTTCGGCTTGATTAATTCTTTACTCTAAGTAGCACAATGTAGCGCGTGTAGTCTAGATGCTGTTGAGCCACTTACGGTAAACTGCAATTATTTTCATTCCTCCGCGTTACTTTCCTGCCTGCAATGCTGTCATGAAGTCATGCAGAAGTACGATGGACACATTATCTCGCGCTGCGGCTTCTTACTATTCGGGAATCGATTCGGGAATCGATCGGGAGGGACACGGTGGGCGCGCTGCAGGGAGGAAAGCGCGCAACCACCCATCAGCGTACTGTCGGTCGCTCATAGTCTCGTTGCGACGGCGGCCAATCGTCGCGGACGACGACGCGGTGTGATCTCCGAAAAATTCATCGGCGGATATGACGAACTCGAGATATTATCCCTGGAACGAGGTCGCTCACCTATTTATAACTGGGTCGAGAGTTGGGCGATCGTTTTCGTCTCGCTCTCTCACTCCTTCTCTCTTTCCCTCCCAGGGTCTCTCTCGCCAGCCTCTACTCTCTGTGTGTATCTATCCCTCTTTCTTTCTCTCTTCCTCTCGCTTCTTCCCACGGTAACGACGTTCTCGATCCCGACTTCTCTCGGAGATCAAGATCCCCCAGTACGCGAGAGCGAATGTCGCCTTGAGCGAAATCACACACCTGACGCGCGGCCTGTTGAACCCAGCGGGTCCTTTCAAGCCTCGCCAGCGACGCGAGAACAAAGTGCCGAGAGCGCCAAGTGACGTACGTACGCGCGCGCGCGCGCGCATACACCCTCAACAAAAGCGAACGTCTCGCGCGTGCGCGCACGCATCTTAGCACATAAATAACCAGGGACCTATTCCAGACGCGCGTCGAACACTGAGGCCCGTATCAATAATCGCCACTTGACACTTGTCCCACGTGAAATCAGAACGATCTGAATTTTGAATTAAGTTTGGGCTTTTTACTCAAATCAAGTGATATATATATATGTGTGTGTGTGTGTGTGTGACATTTTACATCTCTAATCGCGACTCAGCTGAAAATGTTCAAAATAGCGCAAATCTGCTTACGGATTTTGATTTTATTGCGTTGGTATCTCATACCTGAAGTTTTACTATATTTGACTCTGAAAAAAAAAATTGGTTTAAAAGTATTGATTTTCAATAAAGTTATTATAATTCAAAGCTGTCCCGGTTTGACAAACCCAAATTGTACTATACACGCCTCAAAATCAAATTGTCATTTGAAATTTGTCTCATATGAGATGTTCAGATTTTTATTCACACAGAGTTAGATCCAAGTTTTTCAGTTTTGAATTATATGATATAAGTAATATCTATATATTGTCTGATATATATAATTTATATTATATTGAAAAACTCTAAATTTAAATTTAAGTATCTCAGTTGAGGCGAATTTCAAATAACTAACTCAATATGGGTTTACATTCAAATTTGAGTATCCTATTTGAGATGAGTTTCAAACAACGACTATTAACACGCGTTTAAATGCCTTCTTGATTTTCTCAAGCTGAAATAACGTTACACATGACGTTCGTGAAAAACAGAACGTGGAATGAAACAGGCATACTTAACGTTAGCTATGTCTCTAGAATAGGGTCCTTGGGCGAGCGAATGGTGATTTCCGTTCTCATTATCATTTATTCTGATTGTCTCGAGTGATTAACATTATCTCTGAAGAAGCCGTCCGGCCTGACGCTTCTTTATCCACTGTGTGGAAATCGCGCTCGATCTAGACATGAGCGAGCCGGACGGATATATTCAAATGATCAGCTTTCACATTTGACCGTTGTAAAGGCTGATACGTTAGATAACACTTGTAAATCCCGCGGATATCGACAGTGAGCTGCTGAATTGATTATCACGAATAGGCTATATTAAGATGCCTCATTAGAATGCGGGTCGTCTGTGGTTCGCGCTAAATCGCGTCAAGAAAGTCGCTCAAAACGTGGCGATGAATCTCGCCGAAGGTTCCTGGGCGGAAGGAGATCGCTGTAATCGCGATGCTGGAACATCACCGGCGAGAACGACTCACCCGGAGAAATTCAGGAGCGCGACCGTTGCGCCCGCTGCCACGATACCAATTAGCCAGGCCGCCGCCGAAGGCAATTAAGCGCCGGCGTGCCAATTAGATTTCGTCGTATAGCAGATACATCCGTTCCGTGCGACAACTCGACCCTCGTCGAGTGACTCGTTGAAAGTCACGGGAAAGGTAACGGTCGGCAGCTGCGATTGTTTCGAAATCGCAGTCGGCGGTTAAGTTCAAGGTGTATTCAGACGTCATCTCAGACACACACCGTGATTCGGCGTGCGTGTGTACGTGCGCGGATGCGCACACGCACACCGACACATGTTAATGCACTGCCGGCATTCAGATAACAGACTTTCTGACCGACCACAAGCGCGTCTCATGAATGAATGAAACTTACCTCGGGGACAAATGTTGTGAAATTAGGCACGAGAGATAGCATGTTTGATAACGTGCAATACTAACTCGCGACTTTCGAAGCGCGCCAACTGGCGCTCCAAACAGATGTATGAGCTCTTACATCGTAATTCCGATTTTCGTGATGATAACTGACGACACACGTCAGTGTGGAATCAGTTGGCTTTCCCTCGTCATCGTGCTACGAAATTTCACACTGTCTCCTCTTGTTCTACCTACCACGATGCTTCGCCTGCTTCTCAGATAAACGGTGTACGTAAATTTGGCAGCAACTTTATTGACCGATTTGTAAAAACCGCATCCTTTGCGAGTGACTCGTATAGCACTCATATCCTAGAATGACGAAACAGAGAGAAAAATAGGAGAAGAATGGTTAAAAATTGTAGACTCTTTTATCCGTTTCTCTCACAAAAAATGATAGAGTTTCCATCATAAATTGACTCACGTCGTGATAATCAATCTATTATTGTATTTCATACTTAAATTTTAAAGCAAAAAATATTTTTCATAATTTCTCTTTATGTAATCGTTTCAAATCAGATTAGGCAATGATAGTAGCTACATTATTGTCATCTCTGGTTGTTTTCCTTTGTATAATCTCTGTGGTATTGTTTATTTTTCTCTCTCTTTCTTTCTCTTTCTTGCGACCAATGTGAAGTTAGTATTATTATTATGCTATATGTATTCTCGTTAGTTACATTTTTGTCACTTCCCAAAGAGGTCAAAGTCACGTTGAATTTCGCACCATATTATCGATTTTCCTCGAGCTCATTCCTGGCCTTGGTTTCGTTAATCGGAGACTTATTACTGGCTTTTTGGATTTATGGATCGCAATCAGAAATGCGAATAATTCGGTGTGCTTTGAGCTGAGGAAACGTTGTTCCTCGTATGCAAAGTGGATCGTATTGCAATGCAAAACGCGCGACGGCGCGGGGAAGGGAGAGAGGGAGGATCGCAGTCCCCGCGCGCGGTGATTCACGTGCAAGACGACGCACGCCTAATAGCGACCCAGGAAATCGGCGTATCGAGGGAAGAATCCAGTAACCCAGTGACGCATGAGAAACTCGAGTTGAACATAATCGTGACGTGAGAACCGTACCTGGACTTAGATGCGGGTAAAAGACGCGATCGGCGAAGGAACTTTACGACTCTCTAATAATGAGACGCTCGGCGCTACGAGTGCGGAGAAATTCCGCTTTTGTGCGCGACTCATCGAACGGTTCTGTTCATCCACTTGCGCATCCGTGACGAACCTCCGCGGTGCCAATTTTCACGACACTTTTTTCTCTATTTATTCGCTCTAAACGCACACATACACCGTCTCTCTTTCGCCTGGGACACTATTTTCCTTTTAACCGCCGGTAAGGCCGTTTAGGATATCGCGAGAACTATCGCGTTCTAAAAAAGATGGAAATCACATAGAAAAAAAAGAAAGGAAAATATGCGAAGAAGAAGAACAAGAAGGAGATTCTCGTCCCAGTCCTTCCAGTATTAATACAGCGTACTTCGTCGCGCTAGCACGAATGAAAGTAATTCCTCTTCCTCTCGAAGTCACTCTGTGTCTTTTTCCACGTTGTCTTTTCCGGCCGCGTTGCGGTCGTCGTTGAATGTAACGAGGCGTGACAATCGTTTCCTTTTTGCGTCACTTTTCTCTCTCTCTTTCTCATCTCACACATTGCATCTTGCGCGAAACGATTTATTTTTTAACGGCCCGATTCCACATCATTGATTCCCAAATGCAAAGTATCTCGTAGCTGGCATGCGAAAAGAATTTTTTATTCTCTACACCAAATGCGAATTAATTTCCCATTTCCTTTCGTGAGTTCTGCTAAATAATAAATATAACAGTATTATATAATAACATTCTGATTTTCCTTAAATCATATCCGGAAGGAAGTTTCTCAACATTGCCTTAATTCAGTAACTTATTAGAAAACAGCAGAAATAATCGGTTTTGCCAACTAGTCCCTGGTCTATCCTACATTGAACAAGCCCGTTTATAGACTTATCTTTGTATTGCTCTTAACTACTTAACTTTGTATCATTTAACGTTTATAGACACTTAACTTGATATTATCTTAAAAAATAAGGGCGTACCAGAAAAATTACTAAGCATAGCCAGAAATACAGATTAAAGCGCGTCCACTTATATCGGACCTGAAGCAGTTAGCTGGGCCTCATCGTGATGTCTGTCAACAAATAAGACGAATGACTATATTCTTCACTCCGTCGCCCAACTTGCTGCTCGATCGGTTCCGTTTCTCTTCTCCTGGATCGGCGGCGATCGCACCTCTCCCGGCCCGCGCAAACGCTAATGACCGTCGTCCGCGACGTCGCGCTGCGTCGATCGGTCCGCGCCGCGTCGTCCTAGAAAACGTTAGGCCGGCACATACCTATTGTCGAAGTAAAATTCTTTTTACCGGCCGGCCGGTGGGGTTTTAGCGCGGAAGAAACGGCAATTTTGCCTCAACCTCCTTTCCAGCTATTTATTTTTCTTCTATGTGGCACTGAAGGGGACGTCGGTCTCGAAGGAGATTTAGTGGGATGCCTGTCTTCCTCTCGACCCGATTAAGAGTGACCGCGAGCCGCGGCCCCTCGCGACCTTCGCGAGCGGGAAACAAGCGGCTCTGCCCGGATGCACCTGAGACACGTGCACTTTCCCCTCAGCGTGCGCGCGCGCGGCACCGAGAGTCAGCCGGCAGCATTTCCATCTCGTCGGCTCGATTTCCAGCCGGACGCCGGATGACTCGCCAAGGAGAGCAGAACACTCGCAGCGGCTTGTATTAACGATTTCGAACGTGCTCTTTATGCAACGCGGCCGTCGCGAGGAGTTTCGCTCGTGAAGAGGGGAATAAAAAAATGATGTTTCGGACGTTCCAGGAAGGACTGGAAAGTTGCCGCCGCCGTCGTCGTCACGGTGATTTCTCTTTTTCGAAGCTCCTCGGCGAGGTGCAGGCGAATGATCTGGCGAATTTGGCCCGAGACAATCGAGTGGATTAATAACGCGCTTCTTCAAATTAACGGGTGTCCTCGCGATCATAGCGATCGTTCATTCAAGAATCGATACTTTCACCGGCGGGGCTCGAGCCAGAAGACTCTCGATTGCCTCCCCCACCTCGGAAGTATCATCGTCTAAACACAGAACTGCAAATTGCGTATTGTATGTCTTTATTGGTCGTGGAGCAAGTCCATTGGCCAACAAATTGCGTATATTTCATTCAATGAACACGCTGCGATCTTTGATCAAAAGTCCACACTGACAGGTACTTTAGTTTGGCATCAACTTTATTACCCGATTTGTAAGGGTTACATCCCTTATCGACAATTTATCTAGCATTTTTACTTACAATTACTTACGTTACAATTTGGCAGATTTACCACACAGAGAATGACGATGTAGAGATGCAAAAGGGATACAAGAAATGATGAATTTTGTCAACATAAAGCGTCATGTAAGATGTACCTAACATAAAAATGGCTTTTAGTAAATTCATTGCAGCATAAATCTATAAAAAGAACGTTATTTTACGATGGAAACATAATGTTTCGTTCAATAAATTTGCTTTACACACAGATGTAAGTGAATGTAATTGAAAAAGTGGTTATAAAGATTTCATCACCGGTTGTCTCCTACGCCGTGATAATCACGAAAGTCTATCACATTTATCGGCTTGAAGGACTTTTCGAGGAGAGATTTCGAAGTGAGACGACAACGTAGGACACAAAAGGATTCAGGAAGGATCACTTACTCGTTTCCATTCACTGACACAGCCGTGGCACTTTTGTACAAATAACATTATATTAATGAAGATGCATATTACAAAGCATACACAGAATCTCATAGGGATATAGCCGCACGAGAGTGAGGCCATTAAGTATTTCGTACACATCGCATATCGGACTAGATGTACTGCGTCGAGTGGGTTCTGCTTACAAGTCCGCTACCGCGCCGCGGGAGCTCGCGCTAAGGTCGCGAGGTCGTGACTAAGATGCATCCTATAATATCCTTATTAACGGGGTAACGTAGCCGCGTGCTATGCCACCGTCGATCGACACGTGTTGCGACTAGCCTCTCGGTTTTGATTCAATTTCATGTTTGATCTATTCGCACACACGAGAGCGAGCAATAATTTATACTCTATGTACATCGCGGAAGGACCAGACGCCCTGCGTCCGCTCCACCTTAACGATAAATTAGAAATAAATATCCTCGTGATCGCGCGAACAAAAAGAGTCGATACTTCAGCCCTACCTTCGACCTGAACCTTCCCACATCTGCACGTTCTGAAGTATCAGTGCCTTTACTTAGCGCCTCTAAACGGCGGAAAGCGCACAAAGTACCATACAGTAGGCTCTAAGGAAGTACTTCTCAGCACAGCTAAGCAAAGGACTTGATACAGAGCTTCGAAATTAAATTATCGTTAAAGTAAGCCTTAAATAGAATGTCCAAGTTGAAAGTAGGATCAAAACTTCGGCTCGGGACGACACGAAGCCTGAGAGAAGAGACTTCGACTGTCGTCGATGAACTGTTCTTCACGTCGCTCACGTTGCTTAAAAAAAGAGAGGAAGAGAAGGAAGGATCAAAAGGAAGGCACGTTGACGACTCTCGCCTACTAATGATGGTATCCAGAATACGCTTGGCCGTGCGCGTAAGCGTGACCGTCGTCCCAGCCGCCGCCGCCGCCGCCGCCGCCGCCGCCGTTTGACCATCCGCCGGTGACCACGGGAGCGGACCATCCACCGCCGCCACCGGACCATCCGCCGCTGATGGGCACGTTCCAGCCGTTGGAGTAAGCGGTTATGTCGTGGCCACTCTTGCCGCCCCAGAGCGACTTCATGCCGACGAAAGCGGAAATGGCGAGGGAGATGAGCGACGCGAAGATCGCCTTCTTCGCCAGCAAGCCGGCCACGAAGTACGTGAGAGTCGCCAAGAGGCCCATCTTCACTTTCGCGGCGATCAGCAGAGGCAAAATCCCTTTCATCTTCTTCCTGCGGCCTGGAACGTCGGAAGAGACAACAGTGAGTCACGTGGGCGATATCGATCGATCGTACAGCGCGGAAGTAATCATCGACGGCTCGATTTTCGCGAGTCTCGCTTTGGATTACCTTCGACCACCTCATCCACAGCCTGGCGAATCTCCGGCGGCACGGACTCGCTGAAGGCGCGAGCTGACTCGCTGACCTTCTCGAAGGCGGACGCGAGGTTGATCTGTGGAGAAAAGATCGGCGAGTGTTCAATTCGGCCACTTTTCCGGTTATGGTTGCGTGTAAACGCGAGATCAACAAGTAGATATTCTCTAAGGACGTTTCTGCTTGAATAGTGAAGTTATTGAAACAAGGAAGATCGTAAGAGTGAGTTAAAAGAATGAGAAAATAAAGAGATAGAAATAGGGAGAAAAAGAGAGAACGGAAATAAATATAAATATAAAATAACGATCCTATACGTCAAGTTTGATTTTCTAGAGGAGATATAGGAGACATAAAAATCAATAAAAAATAATAAATAAAAATGCATACCAAAAGTATCGAATGTAAATACAAGAGAAAGAAGGAGACTTGAATTAAATAACTATTGGATAATTGTCATGGAAAGACGTTACTTATAACTTGTAGATATTCGTTAGACAATTGTCACTGATAATTGCAGACAAGAATTAGATAAATATCGTAGATAATCATGATTTTCTAGAAGCGAAAAGGACTCGCGATTTACCCTGAGACTACGGCCGGTCAAGAACTGGCCAGCCTCGTCGCCGATGAAGTTCTCGAGGGCGTCCTGCCGCTCCACCACGCCGCTGGCGACGTCCATCTCCTGATCGTGTGCGAGATCCTTGCCGGACCTGGAGCTCCTGGCGTCGTCCTTGCTTTTCACCAGACTGACTCCGCTCACGATCTCCAGCTGGTCCTTGCTGAAGAACTCCTTCGCGCTTCTGTACAGGCTCTTCTGCACACAGGATATGCTGTCCTGCTTGAGACATTCGTCGATGGTCTGGCCGGCGGCGAAGACGAACACAGTCGTCAGGATCACAACGGCGGTCTTCTTCATGGCTGGTTCGGACGGGGAATTTCACGTGAAACTGGAGGAGAGTCCGATCGGATCACCGGGTGGCTCGCGCGCGCTCTTGTGCTTGCAGAGAGCTTGCAGGGAGGATCACGAACCTGGTGCCGCGAGATTAGCGTGTCCCGGGCGCAGTGAGAAATTTCGTATGGTCCATCGCACAATCTCTTTAGCTTATATTTGGCGGACCCCTCCTCGACCGTCTCCACCGCTGACGCCCCACCGCCGCCTTTTTTTCTGCCGTTTGCCATGCGTGAGTGCGTGAGCGAGTCGTTCGTTTTAACCACGCCACCGAGACGTATGGATGTGTGTCCGCCCAATAGAAGATGGGTGTACCTACATGCTACGTCGAGGAGGTATCGACCACGCCGCCTATCGCGACGCGACCTGCGACCTGCCTACGACAAGGCAAATAGAGGCCGGGCGAGGTGCTGTGGGGACAACGCCTCGAGTGCTAGTAAAAAAAGCTTTCTTCAAACAACGCGCTCCTCTCAAGCGCGCCGCAATCGGCTGCGCTCTGCGATGCACGAGAGAGCGATCTCTCATTGGGCCTCTGTCTCAAGAAGTTCACTCGCTCAAACGAAAATGCTTCAGATTGCACAGAAATTTTACGTAATGTTCATCACAGCACCGCAAAAGTTTCATGCGATTTGCACACACCGTTCATGAGAAATGGAACATCGCAATTTTGCACATCTAACATATGATGGGAGCAACACAAACGACCACTATTCCAATATAACTTTGTAAAAGTAATACCATAATAGATAAAACGAACTTATCCCTATAAGTGTTTCTTTAGGGAACGCGGCACAGAAGTAAGGGCAGTATTCATTACATCGTTTTTGTGTAATAGTCGATTGTAGGCCAGAAAACTGCTGGTTTATGCTTCGAGTAGCATTATACTGAGTGGCAGTGAAATTAGTTTCAAATTAACATTTATTATTTGAATAGTAAAATAAGTAAAAGTGTTATTTTTTTCTTAATAGGGAATTTATGAGTGGCTTCCTTGATGCGCCATCGAAAATATACCTCTTGCGCCTTGAAGATACCGTACCTGGTGAATAAACTCCTTAAGTACAACACGAGAACGTAATGTGCGGCTGATGAGACGGTGGAAATTGACGAGGCGTCGCGATAATGGGAAAATTGCACATGCTAGGATAGCAAAAGGTACTGTAAAAGGTGTCAGGTCGCAAAAAGCTAGAAAGTATCGAATATTAGAATGTAGGATACTACATATAAACAGGTTTTCGAAGTGCACAACTTAAAGGAAGAAGAGACGAGGCAAATGAGAGCTGAACGCGGATTATGGGGCGAATGTTTAAATTATGGAGAGTAATTAATAATGTTTGATATTAATATCAATATTAATAATTACGAGAGTCAGTTTGATGTGGAAAGTAGATTTACAATGTACATCTGTAAAAATATCCTGCTAGGAACATTGTCAAACATTATTATCCTCACGTATCTTAAATATTAGCACCAACATCCGCGTTTGTGGCTTACTTGCCTTATCTCTTCCTCATTCTAAATGTAAGACGTCACCCTTTACTCAGGTAGTTTAAGTACAGTAACATATTTTATTTGTTTCTAGCCTCTACAAATATAATCTAGTGACTTTTAATAGCTGTAGTAATTTAAGTTTCAGCAGAAATGTGAGAGAAGTAACACTTTTAGGAAATATAATCTAGTGATTTTTAATAGCTATAGTAATTTAAGTTTCAGCAGAAGTGTATTGTGACAGAAGTAACACTTTCAGGCGAGAAATTGGACTAACTCTGTTTCGGGAAGATTTCATCATTTTCGCACGATATTGATTTATTTAATTGCATTGCAAGCAAAAAATGAGGCATTCAAGAGTTTTTACAAAACAGCTAAACCTCACCTAAATAATACAAGATCGATATATCAAGAGAAAAAATACACACTTACACACGGATAAAACGATTGGTTGCATTAATAAAATTTTTATGAGATAAGATATGAGCGAACCAGAAAGTTTCGGTTAAATAGAATTCCGCTCAGATTAACAATTCTGGTTAAGCGAGATTTCGTGCCTCACCAGAAATTTGGTGAATCCAGTCAAACTTTCTTTATCCGCGTACATTAATACAGATAAGAAACGTCTAAATCGGTCTCCTCTCGAATTTCATAGCTACGCGAGCGTGTGATAATCGCTTCGACGTATATGTGGCGAGGTATATAATAAATTCATATTGCACACATAGGCGCGTACAAGGAAGAAAAAAATGCTAAACTTAGATTTATTCTCGTCCGAGTCCGCCGAAGTTTCTCGGCCTGTCCCAATTACCTTGCATACTTACGTATGTAAAATCGAGAATACCGAATGGGACCCGAATTTCAAGAATGTGTTAAATCCCGTGTAAACAAACTTTCGGTAAGATTCTTCCGAAGCAGCGGCGATCCCAGATACCGCGCCTGAATACTAACCGGCCCCGGCACGTGGTCGGGCGTGCGACATCGCCTATTAACTCCGTTGTCCCGCCACCGTTGGTCTCCTCAATGGAGAGACAATCTCAATAAGAAACGATCGATCAGCGAATACGCTCGCTTGGAGCCGCGAAAGTTTACCTCTGCGGCTAACCGAGTGGAAAGCGCACGGCTGAATTAACGTCCGTAGGCATTAGCCGCGGTGAAGCCCACGTGACGATAACGCATTCGTTATACGTATAGTTTCTACAAACGAGAGACGCTTAATTAACCCGGCGTCACAATCCTCCATTTATTTCGTGTATGCGCGAGGAAAGAAAAGAAAAAGGAGAGAAAAAGACGAGAAGAGAGGAGCGGCGAAACGGCGCGGCCTCCGCGTCTGATTACGTGCCGTCTTTTACTACTGAAAACCTCATTCGCGAGGTTGCCGGGCGTGTCAGACGCGACACGTGCACACACTTTTCCCTGGAAGAGAAAATATGTAACTAAGAAATAAAAAATACATATTTATCCTTCACGGTGGATACCAAAACAATACACATCTATTTTTATAAAATAATCTTTTTATAAAATTTTATAAAATAATCTGCTTATACTGATACACATGTTTCCGCACTGAGAAACATTATTTTTTAATCGACAAAATATATGCATTTGTAAAACACTTTTAGTATTTGTGAGGGGAAATTTTGTGTTAAGTTTGGTGTTTATATGTATTTTGTGTTAAGTTAACACGGCCATGTGCTTATTTAACACATTTTTGGTGTTATTTTGATTATTTTGTGTTGTTGAATTCATATTTTTGAGTGTTGAAATAATACAATTTATATATAACGTACGAATTCTTGGTGACATATTTTGCAGAGTAAAACGTACAGGTAAATTGCGCTATTATCTATTTATATCTACTTTGTGTTAAATTAACGAGAATTAGAGCGAATAAATTATGACGTGTAAAATGTGTTAAATTGACATAAAATTGTCCGGAATGCATTTCCTTAAAATCATAGCTTTTCACGGAAAAATAATTATTCCTTGTCTTTTGTTCTATTTAAATAAAATAAATTTTAGATTATTTAAGTAAATAAATTTCAGATTATTTAAGTAAATATGTTAGTGTGTCACCAAAAATAAGTGTTTTCTTGTCTTTTAGATATTATTTCTCAATATATCGCGCTTCTGAGTGAGCAAACAGCAGCGTAACGAGAGATAAGGGCCGTGGTATACAGAAAAACGACAAGACTTCAGTAGCAAGCGAATTGCCAATCATAGTAAATTATTGTCAATCACAGTCGAGGATTTCGATACGGTAATCTTGCATTCTCAATAATTCTCGAATGTAATTGGCCAATTTGCTTGCTGCTTAAGTTTTTGTCACCACTTACATTTCTCTCATGTCATGTGACACTCGCTTAACTCTTAAGTAGCTCAACTGGCCTCACGGCCGCCGATGACGACGACGACGATGACGATGATCGTCGTCGTGATACAATTCAAGAGGAAAAGCTACGAAATGATCGTACTCTCTCCTTGCAGACGATGCTCGTCGTCTTTTTGGCGTCGCGTGTGTCGACCGCGTGTCTACGCGGCCACGCGGATCTCACACGCGGACATGAATGAAAGAAAACTGATCAAGTTCAAACATCCCGGATCCGACCTTCATCGCGACGGCGTGCGCCGCGACCACCACTTTCTACTCTGACCCTGCGACTCTCACGGACCAACGATAACGTCTCTCCCTCTCTCTCTCTCTCTCTTTGCCTCTCTTCTTCTTCTCTCTCCTTCTCTTTCTCTCTTTCTCTCCGTCTTCTCGTTTTCGTTTCGTTCCCCCGGACCCCGCGATTTGTACAAAGCGGATGCGCGTCGGTGACCAACGCAATGACCGACGAGGAAACCTTTGTATGCAGCGGACGTGGTCGCGTGGGAGCACAACGTGGATTCGAATTTCGAGAAAGTGAAACCGCAGGTGGTCCGCGGCTAGGACTGAAAGCGGCGATTTTTCGCCACATCTTCGGAGATATCGAGGATGTGCGCGATGTAGACTCAATGGAGTGGAAAATTCGGTACACCTCGCGGGTAAGATCCACTTGGCGGCTGCAGCATGAATATAATTTTGAGACTGACTTCCTTCAGGGATGAATTTATCAGAATTGAAAAAAAAATTATTTACTTTCTAAATGACACACAGAAATGATTTGGTGAAGTTAATGTCTCATGAGATTTATACGAATCAAAATTCCGGTTAATGTTATTAGAATTCTGTTTAAGTTAACAAGATTTTGGTCAATTAAACAAGCTTCATCTGCGATTATCTATACGATTCAAGTTAAATAGTTGCAAGTTCTGCTTAACCAAAAATCTTGTTAACTTAGAATTCTGGTGACTTCAACTGGAATTCTGCTTTCTTTATATTTCAACCAGCCGAACTTCTCTTTCCATACATAAATAAGACATCTGTCAATTATGTGACGAGATTTCTTTTTCTCTTGTGGAATTTTGTGCTGAATATTCACATATTAATTCATCACGACACTCGAATTTTGCAAATAAGCAATGGGAAAAGCGACATAGACGCTTTCCAGCTAATAATAAGAATTTATTTTACCTATAATAGCGAACTTTTAGCAATAGCAGCAAAACGATTAGCCTTTCAGCTAAGCTTGACTAATGACTCATTGAAATTCAGCTGATACTAAGTCGTTTCTTTATGTATATTTCCCCAATGTCGTAAAAAGAACATTTTGTGCTTCCTTTTCTCCATTCTGTCTCTCACAAAAATAAATACACAAACGAAGTGTATGGCCTACATGAGCCTTGCTCAATGTCAAATAAAATAATATCAAAGTAATAGCCGACGTAATAACTTGGCCAGATTTTCTCTACTACTTCAACACGCGACTTATGTTATAGTGAATTGTGAATATCTTTTG